GATTTTCATATAACCTACATCCATCCTCCCGTATATTTTAAATCATCACTAGATTACTTATACCTAATAGAATGTAAATGCTGAGAAAGTTGGTTAACAAATTGGGGCATTTTTGTCATACCCAAACTAAATTAGAGTTGAGGGATCAGGTAGAAAAAGCACATGCAGCACACAGCACCTGCACTAGGAATATACTGCAAGCCCAACTGCTGAAAGGCCCGCTGTAATCCTAAAACCAGTTTTATCTAGTAGCTGCTGAAATGATAACATGAATCTAAGACTCATTTAACCTATCATCCTCAATCAGATTGATATCTACCCAAAACTTCACTAGTACCAATGAGCATTCTTTGAAAACAATACTTAACATTTATCTTTCTAATAAAACTCCCAACCCTTTGTTCTTCAGACATACTAGAGACCACCTGGCCTATGTATATACCCTGGACTGCAATCCTGTTTTCCCAAATAAAACATCTTGTTTAGAGAGTTATATTAGTCCGTTTATGTTGCTTATAACAAAATACCCGAAACTGGGTGATTTATAAAGAAAAACGACATTTACTACTTACAGTTTCTGAGGCTGAGAAGTCCAAAGTCCATCTGGCGGTGGTGACAGTGACTCAGGGGTCTCACATCACCAGATGGTGGAAGCAGAGAGAACAGAGAGCAAGAGACAGACCCTCTTCTTTTAAAGCCCCCAGAACCACGCCCCTGACCACCATTTCTAATCCATTCATTATCGCATGGTCCTACCATCCAATCACCTCTTCAAGGCTCCACCTTATAATTACCATAATAGGATTCCCCACCCTCTTAATGGTCACAGTAGGAGCTAAGTTTCTAATACATAAAACTTGGGGTACACAATTCAAGCTTCAATGAGTTTGGGGGGGACATAGTTCAATCCACTACAAGAGTCATCTTTTTTCATTTGACAATGCTGTGTAAATAGCTGTTAGACTTTTTTCTTTAAATTTGTATTTTTTTTTTCCTTTTTGTCTTTTTTCGTGACCGGTAACGGGATCGCAACCCTCGGTGTCGCGCCCGAACTGCGCTCAACCAGTGAGTGGACCGGTCTCTATATGGGACCCGGACCCTCGGCGGGAGTGCCGCTGCGCTCCCAAGCGCCGCACTCTACCAAGTGCGCCACCGGGCCGGCCCAGAATTAGTCTATTTTTACACTTAGAAATACTAATGTTATTTAAGGATAAATTACACACTGCTATTTACACTTTATAATAAATAACACATTAAAATTTTTCTCTTCACAACAAACATTTGAAGATTCTGTCAGTATAAAATAACTTTCTGGTGAAAACGTTCATGGAATGTGGGGGGATTGCGGGGAGAAAGAAAATATGAGGGTGCTTCAAAAAGTTTGCGGAAAAACTAAAAGATAGTACAGATCCTTCCATGAACTTTTTGAAAAAGGCCCTAAATTTGTGTTTTTTTTAAAAAACATTTTCCATCTGTCGATGGTTGAATTCGTAGATGCAGAACTCTGTGTACAGAAGGCTGACCTCATTTCAAGACACTTAGCCACAGTGGGCCCGGCGCAAGGTCAGAGGAAGCTTCGCTGGAGACGTTGGCACCGCCCTCTACAGACAAGGAATACAACGGGTAGAGACAGCCCAGAGGGCTGAGCGGGAGTCACAAGGGAGCGCGAGGGCGCGCTGTACACCGCGCATGCCCAAGACGCAGTCCGGTTCCCAGAGGGCCAGGCGGTGACCGGAAGGAACAGCTGGACCAAGATGGCTGAAGAGGAGGGGGCCGGAAGTGCTACTTCCGCCGGCAGTGTCAGCGGTGCGGACGCCATGGAGCGAGTTTTACCCGTGCTTTTGGTCCCGGTCTCCGCCGAGGTGACGGGGAGCCTGGGATCTCGGGCGCAGCTGCATAGAGAGCAGGAGGCTCTGGGGAGCCTGACGGCTGCAGGCAACCTCCAAGTGCTTTCCTTGGCGCCGGGCGGCCGGGGCGGGGGCGGCTGCTGCCTCCAGGGCCCCTTCCGGCAGTAAGTGCTGCGGGAGAGCTGGGCAGTGTAGCGGGAGAGGGGTGACAGCCGTGGTAACGCCTCAGAGGCGAGTCCGGTTCCCTCTCGGACCTTTTTCCCCGGCCGAGGCGAAGCGCTCGCCTTGTTGAATCCCGCACCCCTGCTTCTCGGTTCCGCCTGGTCGGAGACGGTACCCGGTCCTCTGCTATCTGCGGGGAACCCGGAATGGGTCCCAGCTTGGACGCTCATTCTTTTATTTATTTAACACAGGTCGATTAATTGTCACAGTGCTGAGTGCTATGCCCCCTTTTTTTCTGTTAAATCAGTTAAAGATGCCAGTTGGAGATTATCTCTAATTTGAATTTTTTCTTGTCCCTGAAACATATAGTTTTCCTTCACATATGGGAATTTCTTCTTCAAGGGCAGAGTCCAGTTTGTCCTTTCGGTTATTTATTCATTCAGCAAATATTTATCATGAGCCTACTATTACCTAGGAGCAGTGCCTAAAAAATTGAATAAGACCAGTTCTTAAATGTGAGGCTTACATGATTTGGGAAGACAGAAAGAAACATAATTAAAATTATGCATGCTTTCCACTTCTGTAACTCTCGGTCCAGGATTTACAACTTGCATCATAAAGTTTGAAAGTATCTTTGACTGGGCTCTTCTCAATATTAGAAAATATTCTAGAAAAGATGTTTTCTCTCAGATTTTGAATAGCCAAAGGGTGTCTTACGTTGGAAACTCCAGGTCCTATAACAACGCCTGACACTTAGTAGAGATTCGTTTGCTAAATTAGGGAATGCTTTAACCTGTTCTGTGTTTGTCTTCCTTATTCTTGATCTCTGGTTGCTAGGAAGAGTAATCTCTCTTTAGAGGAAGTTAGTATGAAAATAGCCTTGTAAAGACAGAAATGGGGAAGAGAGAAAAGAAGCAGAGGAACTCTTTGTAAGAACCTAACAGAGAAGATATGGCACACACAAAATAATGGGGGCATTCATATGCTGGTTCATGAAATTAGAGGGGAGGAGAGCCAAGGAAGGCTTCTTTTTATTTTATTTTTTTATTTGAATTAAATTTTAATTCAATTAGAGCACATCATAGGATGAAAATGAATACAAGTTTATAGTATTTAGAGTTCACCTCATTCTTTAAAGCATGTAGGTCTTTTTTATACTGTTGAAATTACTGCACATTTTGTATTTTATTCTTATTGAAAATTTCCTGTCTTTCCATGTGGCCCAATGTAGTCCATATGCTAATGATTTTAATGGTGTGAGCAGTATTCTGACTTTTAAATATATCATAATTTGTTTAACTTTTCCATAGTTGACATTTAGGTTGTTTTCCACATTTTCAGTATAAACATTCAGGAATTGGGTGTTCATGAGAAATCATCAGTTCAGGTATAAAGATAGAAATGTAAAATGTGTCATTTTTTTTCTCTAATAAGGACAAAATAGCACCAAGTCTGGTTTCTTTGGATATAAAACTTACTACTTCTGTAGAAAAAGGAAGCTTTGTAAAAGACTGCAAAAGTTTATCAGCATGCTAACCTCACCTCTCTCCATGGCATTGTTTTTGGATTTGGGGCCCTATTATCTTTAAGATGTAATTTAATTTTAATATTTAATTTTTTAAATATTTAATTTGTCTCTTTCTATACGTGTTAACCAATGTTAGTATTTTGACTTTATTGTTTTATTTTTCATTAGCATATTCATTATTACAAATCACACATATTCTTTATGCCCCTTATCTAATCTCTCCCCATCTAGATTTGTTCTCTCCTTCTGATAGATCAACTGTTTCTCTGTTGGTTTGTTGCCTGTATGATCTGTCCGGTACTGAGAGAGCTGTGTTCAGGTCTCCCGCCATTATCGTATAGCAAATGCTTCTTCTATTACTTTGGAGTGTGCTTTGTGAAGAGAAAGGACCTTTTTTTTTTTGGTCTCTGCTGGTGACTCTCCTTGCATCAATGCAGTCAAGTGTCTGGCATACCATCTTCACGGTGGCTGTGACTACTGCTATAGTGACTATCTGCTTTTGTGGCAGCTGTGGTAATTGTGGCTGTGGTGGGCTACCCCCATGGAAATGGTGTTTTTGGTGTGGTCTTTACCCGGTTGTGGCTGGGTTCGGCTTCTCATGGGCACGTCGCCCCCCCCCCCCCCCCCCCCCCCCCAAAGGACCTTTTTTTTTTTGGTCTCTGCTGGTGACTCTCCTTGCATCAATGCAGTCAAGTGTCTGGCATACCATCTTCACGGTGGCTGTGACTACTGCTATAGTGACTATCTGCTTTTGTGGCAGCTGTGGTAATTGTGGCTGTGGTGGGCTACCCCCATGGAAATGGTGTTTTTGGTGTGGTCTTTACCCGGTTGTGGCTGGGTTCGGCTTCTCATGGGCACGTCGCCCCCCCCCCCGCCCCCCACTCCACTCCTGAGGACCCAGGGGCCGACATTTATAGTTTTAAAGTTCTGTGATTGCTGTTCAGTGTGGTAGTCATTAGCTGTACGTGGCTGTTAAAATTAAATAAAATTCTGTTCTTCAGTTACACTACCCACATTTCAAGTGTTCAGTAGTCACATGTGGCTGTTAACTATTGTATTGGGCCACGCTGATATAGAACATTTTCATCATGACAAAGTTTTATTGGACAGAGTTCTGTAATATACCATTTTAGTCTGCAAAGTCTATAAATACAAATAATCACTTTCTTTTTAAAAATCTTTGAAAACATCTAAGTAAATTCCTATTTTGTTAATTGTTTTTTGTTTTGTTTCATAGTTTTTTTTGGCAGCTGGCTGGTGTGGGGATCTGAACTTTTGACCTTGGTGTATAATATACATATTTGGTTGTTGATACTTATCCTTGTTCATGACAGTTCCTTTAAACATATCAATCAGGATTTAAGATGAAGGATTAAAAGGAGCCATTATTTCTTGCTCTCTGTCTCCTTTTTACCACTCACTCCTGTATTCTTGTGTTGGCGTGAAGGGGCAAAGGGGGAAGAAGTGAGGAAGGGGAAGAGAAAACAGGAGAGAAGTACAAGACCAGCTTATATTTTCTTAAGTTGGAGTATAAAATTAATGCTACCAGGTGAACTAAACTGTTCTCTACTCATTCTGTCCTTCCACCCCCATCATTATGGGTAAATATTATTGTGGATACAGTCATATAATAAATCTTAACTTTTTCCTTAGCTTTGTATGGGAGGACTCTCATAATAGCAGCACATCAACAGACAAGCCCAAACTGCTCGCTCTCAGTGAAAATTATGAACTGCGCATCTATGAATTTAATTTGAAAGATGGAAAATTTGATGCAACCATTTTGTATAGCTGTACTGGGGAGATATTGCAAAAGCTCATTGAAGATCAAGATATCAGTAAGTATATATAGGTGGTCTTTTGGCATGTTTAAATTTGTGACATTACCATGTAATTTTATATATTTCAGGAAAAGTTCTCTAAGAGGTGATATCAGAGAGAGAGGTCTACATTGTCCAGTACAGTAGCCACTAGCTACATGGGGTTATCGAGCACTTAAAATGTAGTTAAGATGAATTAAAATGTACTTTGAGTGTCAAATGCATACCAGATTTTGAAGAGTTTCTACTAAGAAAGTAAAATATCTTACTAATAATTTTTGTATTAATTACATGTTGAAATTATATTTTGGATATAATGAGCTAAATATGTATTATTAAAATTCATTTCACCTGTTTCTTTTCGGTTTGGTTACTAGAAAATTGAAAATTACGTATGCAGCTTGCATATGTGGCTCACATTATATTTCTGTTGGACAGTGCTGATCTAGACTGGTTACTGGTTGATTATATTCTGTCCTGATGGATGTAGGGAGTAGAAATCAGTGCACTCAGGCATCTATTTTTAAGGCAGTAACTTACTCTCCTCTCTTGACTGTAAGGTTTCTTCTTTTTCCCTAAAAAAATATCTGACTGTTCTTGTGGGGTCCCATGGGGTAAGTTGGCTTTTTTGAGTTTTTGTTCTGGTGTGCTATCAGACTTTGGCCATAAACAGAAGGAACTAGGGACATTGTAGGCCATCTTTATTCATCCTCTTACCCACCTCCCAATGACCACTTGCTTAGGTGGGTATGACCAGTAACTGCCTGGAGTTGGACTAAGTACAGTTTCTTTTTTGTTTTACCTGTTTGTGTTATGGCTTATAAAATCAAATTTACCATTTGTTAAAATTGTGACCAAAGAGTTTGAAATAATATGCTTTTATTTCCTAGGTATTTCCATATCGTCCTTGAGAATTCTGTCATTTCACAATAATACATCATTATTGTTTATCAACAAATGTATTGTCCTACACGTTATATTTCCGGAAAGAGATGCTGAGATTAGAGTACTCAACTGTTTCACACTATCCTTGCCTGCACAGGAAGTGGACATGATTATTGACGCAGAGCTCTGCAGGGGAACTTTTTTTGTTTTGAGTAGTTTAGGCTGGATCAGTATCCTTGGCAATAAAGATATTGATATGTAGGGCAGAATACCTAGAAAGATGAGTCCTTTTTGGCTTTTAGTTTTGGGGACTGGGGTATAGGGAGAATAGTTAGTTTTTCAGTAAAACTTTTTTGGGGAAAAGGTTTTCATAAATGTAAAACACTCAATTGTATCACTTTATGTTCTCTTTTAATATTTTCCATTGCATACATATTTTTTTCATAGTCATAATTATCTTATTCATACTTGTTTGTGTTCTTTTAAAATTGTATATATTTTGCATTACCTACTTATTGAGAATACACTTCTTGAACAACTACCATGTGCTTGTTCCAGGAAGGATTTAGATGACTGCTTGTGATGTGATACATAACTTTTCATGTGTGGATATAATCTACCTTTTATCATGTCTAATGATGAGTCCATCATATTGATGAATAGTTTGCTTAACCATTGTTTGTTTTTGGAAAATATGAGTTCTTTGTCTCCAGTAGATCTATAGGCCGTTAGCAAAATTATTTTGAAGATTTGAAAAATGAGCTCCTATATGATTTTTGGGACTTTCATTTCTGAATTAAAGGAGTGATTTTTCTATTTGGGGTATATCATTTTTGTAAAATGTTGTAAAATACCGGGTTAACTTAATTTTTGTTGCCAATTTATAGAACTGCACCGTAGAACGCAGTAGGTACTAGGCATATGTGGTTTTTGAGCTCTTGAGAATTGGCTAGCATGACTTGGGAACTTAATTCTTAGTTTTATTTAATTACTTTAGATTTAAAAGCTGGTACTTCATTCAGTTGTTGGCGAACTTTTAAGTATTCAGTTATTGGAGAACTTTTAACTTTTTCAACAGTTGGGCTGGCCAGTTAGTTCAATAGAGAGCACAGAGTTACAACCCAAGGTCAAGGGTTTGGATCCCAATTCTGGCCAGGCACCAAAAAACAAAAAAATACCCAAAACTGTAAATTTTATGAAGTCTTAATACAGATGAAGTATTTCCAATGAAAATTTAGTATCCAAATTGAGATGTGCTGTGTGTAAAGTACCAGATTTTAAATACTTATATGAGAAAAAGATTGGTTAGAGTGTGGTGTTATAACACTAAGGTCAAGGGTTCAGATCCCCGGACTGGCTCGCTGCCAAAAAAAAGAAAAAGTACCTCAATTTTTTACATTTATTACATGTTGAAATGATAATATCTTGGATATATTGGGTTAAATAAATATATTAACATTAAGTTTACCTAATCTCTTGGATAGCACTGTTGTAGAGCATTAGTGGAAAGTATTAGCAGTGACTCAGGGCCTGGCACAGAGTGGAAGTTCAGCAGGTACTGCTGAATGAACTCTGTATCAGGTTGTTTATTGTGCCACAAACTTCATAGACATCTGGTTATTATGGGGGCTGTCTAGTCTTCCTTGTTATTATACCTACAAGGTTGGAGCGATGAAGTCTTTATAGTTCTGTCCCATCTTCTGTGTGTGTGTATTGGCTAGTGCAGGCATTGAACCCTGGACCTTGTTGTTGTCAGCACCATGCTCTAACCAACTGAGCTATCCAGCGAGCCTCCATCCTGTGTTTTAAATGGTTAGGCATGCTTATGCAACTGACATTTTCTTTAACTCTAACTCGAAGACATTTTTGACGTTATGGATGGTACACATATAGCTCATGTGGATTTATCACTTCACCAAGAAGATATGTGTAATGAGCAGCAACAGGAGCCAGCCAAGATTTCTTCCTTTACTTCACTGAAAGTATCTCAGGACCTAGATGTTGTAGTGATTATCGGCTCCTCCAACTCTGCAGTTGCTCTTAACTTAAATTTGTATTTCCGGTATGTAAATTACTGCTTTTTTTTTTTTCTTTCAATTAAGCAAGACCAGTGGAGAGTACTATGCTTTTTAATTTGAGGTAAATAATTACAGCCATAAGATGTTAAAACTGTACTTGTTAGCTTTTTTTTTTTTAAACCAGTGTTCCTTTTCTATTCAGTTAGATCATGTTCTAGTGTGATCTACATGGTGAAGTTGTCATTACATAATGATGTGTACAAATGATCACTGACCAACTTTGTATTTCTGCATGTGCATCAAAGTTTTGATTTTGACATAGTTTATTATATATTGGTTATGTAATATAAATTTTCAAAAAGCAATAAAGATTGCAGTTTTAAAAGCCCTTGACCATTAAACATCATCCACTCATCTCTTGGCCCATATTAGAGTAGAAGAGAAATGGGATTTACCCTGTGTTAGAATTGTCACTTTTGTGGCTTGGGGTCGTGGTTGCCTTGGAGATCACTATCCTCTTAAAGGACTTTGATAAGATGTATTCAGCCAGCTTTATCCAGCTCAGGATTTCCAAGGTGTTTCCCTTGGAGAGCCTGAACTTGTGGCTGTCTAAATATATTAGTAATGAGTGCTTATTTGTGTTGCTTTTCAATTTACGCATTCTAGTTGCTTCTGATTTTATAATGTTTAAGAGTTGTGTGTATGTATGTATTGCACACACACTCAACAGCCTATTCATTGTGACTTACTATCTAAAAGTAGGCCCATTCGCATTTATGACTTCCAATATTTAGGGTCATCCAAAACCATTAGGATTTTTGGTTCTACCTTAATATGAATGAGATAAACAAATCCTTTTGAATCATTGGGAATGCTTTTTGATGAGTTTTATTTCTTACCGTTTGGATCACCAGAAAGGGTAACTTCACATATCTACTTGAACTATTTACAACTGTGATGTTTTCATTTGTTTTAAATGGCCTTTTAGTTTTTTACAAATCTTTCAGCAGGGATGATTAGCAGATTCTCAGATTGTGTTCTAAAAATAGGCCATTTTTACTGACTAAACATACCCTGTATGTGTAGAGTTACCTCCTGATCATCCAGTTGGTAACAATTTGACTGGTAAGGAAAGAGGAAAGCCTACTCGGCTACTTTGATCCTTGAGTGTAGGGTTATACACCTCTAGATGTTTTGGCAACACTCCAGGAGAACTCTGAAGAGGTCACCAGGCACATTTCCTTTGAACAAATTTCATTGATTTTGGCTACTGTAACATTAGCCAAAGGAGAGCTACTGTTCTGTTCCCTGCACCAAATTTAGGGATCTGTTTTACCCAACAAAATGAGTGGTCTGTATTTATTAATTACTTACATGAATGTCCTTTAACCAGCATAATTTCTCTGGAGTTGACTACATAATTTTCTAAGAGTGCCCTGAAACCTAAAAGTGTTGTTTTTGTCATTCCTGTCTCCTGGTCCTTTCTCTTCCTTTACCTGATACAGAATGTCAGTCCCTCTTTTTCATTTTATCAAGTCCCATTCGTTTTTGAAACCCAACTGAAATCAGCCCCTTTCATGAAAGCTTTTCCTTTCTAAAACCCCTTCCACTTGTAATTTTATACTCATTTCATAATTTTCTCCCCTTTGAATTATTGTAGCTCTTGGGCTTTGCATCACAGTTTAGCACTTAATTGTATAGTCTTATATTATTTCCCTATTTTTTTTTCATGTTTCCCATAGAGTTTATAAGCTCCTTGAGAACTCAAATTCGTGGTTTATTCTTACAATTCACTGTCAGTGACTTTTTCTTCCAGTTTACTGTTGTTTATCAGTAGGCCATTTTTACTGACTAAACCTTAGCTGTCTTCCAATTTATTTTAGCTATCCACTCTCACAGTCATACTCTGGGCTCTTTCGGTATTTGAAATTGTTTCTCTTCCAAATCACTACTCTACACATCTCACTCTGACCACAACTTCCCAAACTTTTCTGCTTGCTTACTCAAGTAACCCCACTTCACCTGTCATCTGACTTCATTGGAATTTCCAATCCATTGACCTTCCACTCCATCCTCTCTGTCTTTACTTCCTTCTCTTTCCAGCATAGATTCTGTGATCCATCATTTCAGTTACTTTCTTGCATGCACTCTAAACCCTTGGTAGCACTTGGTCTGGCAAAATCTCAACCCCGAATGAAACCTTTATTCTGCCTTCTCAGTGCCTACACCCAAGCAACTGAGCACTTGTAAGAAAACTACAAAGGAAAATTAATACCACTCTAAGTTCACATTCCCCATCTTCAATTGATTGCTTAGTATTGCCTGGAAATTTTATGGTGATTTTTCATGAGCTCATTCTTTATAACAGTCCTTTAAAACCTTTTCTTTTTTCCTCTAACCTCTGTTCATCTCCTTACTCCCAACTATTCTTGGCTGACCTGGCCTCCTGTTTTATAAAGGAGGTAGAACCCATCTAGTGAGAGCTCCCTCACTTTCTCAGTTATCCTTCTCCTTATGAAGGCCCATTCCTCTGCATGTGCACTATATTCCATCCCTTTCCTCCTCAAGGACTTTCTCCATTTCCTCTCTTTAATAGTATCTCCTACCTCTTTTTTGGTATTAGATCCACATCTAGTTAATCACCAGGTCCTAGCCATTCTACCTCCTCAAAGTTTTTGAATCTGTCCACTTTTCTCAAATCTTCTGTCATCACTCTTATCCATGCCATTATTATCTCTTACCTGAACTACCTAACAGCCTCCTAATTAGTCTCCACATGTCTTTCTTACTCCCTCAAATCCATCCTCCATAGAGAAGCCAGAGTGATATTGTTAAAATGCATATCTTATCAGAGATATAGCCAGTTATTAACATCTGGGGTCAGGGTATATACCTTTTGTTGGTGGAGGAACTACCTTCTCATGCATCCTCTCTTCTCATTTTCACCCTGCTTTCTCTAACTTATTTTCATCATTGCTTTGACAAATGTGTCAACATACTCCCCTCAAATTGTTGAAATGTTAATACTTATTTAATAATTAAGTGCTCAAGGGGATTAAATGCTTTCCCTTCTCCCCCTAGTTATTCTCCTGCATCTGTTCATGTTGTTTTTCTGCTTAAAACTGTTCTTTGGCTTCCTTCCACCTCCCCCAACCCCTACCAAGATAAAAGTTAAAAATCCTTAATACGGGGCCGGCCCGGTGGCGCACTGGAGAGTGCGCCGCTTGGGAGCGTGGCGGCACTCCCGCTGAGGGTTTGGATCCCATGTGGAGACCGGTTCCCACTCGGTGGCGGGGCGTGGTGCGGGCGCAACACTGAGGGTTGCGATCCGTTGCCGGTCCCCGGTACGGGCGCGACACCGAGGGTTGCGATCCCGTTACCGGTCAGTAAAAAAAGACAAAAAGGAAAAAAAAAAATCTTTAATAGCCCATAAAGCCCTGAACAGTCTGTTGCTTGCCAACTTTTCCAGCCTTATCTCACTCTGCCTTGCTTCCCATTCACTATGCTTTAGCCACCCTAGCCTTTTTTTCTGAAAAGTGACAGCTCTCTTTCTACATATACTCTTCCACCTATACCCACACATATACTTCTAGTTCCTATTCCCCTGGTCTCAGCCTAAATCTTAACTTTATAGTGGCAGTATAATGAGTGATTAAAAATTTGGGCTTTATGATCACATTAATCTGGTTCAAAGTTTCTGTGACTCTTAGTTTCCATGTATAAAATGGGGCTATACTCCTAGGGTTGTTAAGAAGTTTAAAGAAGAGCTTATGTAAAGTGTTTAGCACAGCATCTGCAATATATTAGGCAAAAAAGGCTCTTACTGCTTCATAAAGCAAACTGCCCTTGTAGAGTCAAATTCTTTAGGTTGACTTTATCACCATACTATGAGCAAGGGAGATGAGTTCCATTCAGAGGAATTCATTGTCTGTACCTTTCCCTCTCTATGACCCTTCATTTTTAACAGGAGCAATAGTAACACAAATTTGGGTTTGATCATCATTTTTTCCTATGGCTATCATTATTTTTAAATGTAGGCAACACCCAGGACACCTACTATGTGAAAGAATACTAGAAGACATTCCTATTCAAGGACCTAAGGGAATAGATGAAGATGATCCTGTTAACTCTGAATACAACATGAAACTGACCAACTTTTCCTTCCAGGTTGATAGGTACAGAAACTCGCTTTTGCATTTTGTTTATTATTTTCATTTTTTCATCATGCTGACACTGTATCTTTTTACTAAAGGTCTTTACTTGGTAGATACAGGCTGAGCATCCCTAATCTGAAAATTCGAAATCCAAAATGCTCCAAAATCTGAAACTTTTTGAATGCTGACATGATGCTTAAAGACTTTGGATTTTCAGATTAGGGATGCTCAATCCTAAGGTTGAGGTTAAGGATGCTTAACCTCGAAGTTAAATATCCGCAAATATTCCAAAATCTGAAATCTGAAACACTTCTGGTTCCAAGTGTTTAGGATAAGGGATACTCAAACTGTCCTTTTGTTGTTGTTGTTAGAGCATCTTTGCCTTGGTTTAGTGTTTACTTGATGCCTTTCACTGTAGCAGGTGTAAGTTCTACCCTGTCTTCCAGGTCTTGGAAAGCCCAGCTGTCATCATTGAATGAAACAATAAAGAGCTCCAAACTGGAAGTTTCCTGTTGTGCTCCATGGTTTCAGGATCTTTTGCATTTGGAGTCCCCTGAATCTGGTAACCACAGAACCAGTGTGTTACACTGTGCTTTCAGTTCACAGGATATAATGCATGGCCAGTATAATTTTCCACAGAAAGATCATGCCAAGACCAGTGATCTGGGAAGATCATGGAAGATAGTGCACATCAGTGAAGAAGAGGAACCCATAGAGCTTAAATGTCTATCTGTGACAGGATTCACTGCACTGTTTACTTGGGCTTTGGAAAGGATGGGCTGTACCATTGTCCTCTGGGATTTGGAGACCCAGGATATACAGTGTTTTTCCTTTGGCAAAAAGTGTATTCCTGTAGACAGTAGTGGAGACCAGCAACTGTGCCTTGTTTTGACAGGTGAGAATGTCTTGTCACATTGAAATCCATTGTTGAGAGGTGTACTTTCTTAATGTATTTTACTTCTGCTTGCCATGGTGCTTACATGTGCCTGTTCTCACCTCTAGGGGGTAGTTGTTTATGGAAGAAATTTGGTGTTACTCTTCTTGCTCATGGTGTCTTGTATGTTTGATTTTTAATTAAGGTCATTTCTGCTCAGCTAAATGCTAAGATACTAAGTCAGAGGCAGTTTAAGAGTAATGAAGGTTGATTTTTTAAAACCAGAGTCTTCATTTGACTTCAATCTGTATAAGCAGAAGTTACAAGGCGGCTGCTTATGGGCCATATATGAGCTGAAGATTTACTTTGTTTGACTTTCACCATCTAGGCTTTTTAAAAAGATTTTATTTATTATAAACATGCAAAACTAGAGGATTTCACAAAATCTGGATCTCTAGCTGTTATTGAAAAATAGATCTGGCAGAACTAGGCCTGCCTTCCTGCATAGTATTAACCTCCTACATAGTAATCTACAAATACATTGAATGTTGTGATTGAACTAACCATGTGTTTCTTCTTCAGTACCCACATTTTGGTAATCATATATTTCTTTGTGTCAGGAGTATGCTATTAATTGTTTTATTTTAGTAAACCAGAAATCTGACATCTCTGTAAATAATTAAAGTTTCCAGGTATTGATTGTGTAAGATAATATGAAGTAGAAATGTGGGATTTAGTGTTACTTCATAGGATGCATTGTTCTTATAAGAATTTGCTTTGTGGTCAATGTTTTAAAAATAAAACTCTTTTTTAAAAACCCTGGAAAACCATGATAAGTTAATTAAGGTCTTAGTAGTACAATGGTGTCCATTAAATGTGTTTATAATTATAGTACTGGAGTACTGGATAATTAGAAATTAACTCCTGTGTCATAATCCTAAGACCTAAGACCTAATAATTTATTAAAGCTAATTTTATTTTTCTTGTAGAAAATGGACTCTCTCTGATTTTGTTTGGTTTGACTCAAGAGGAGTTTTTAAACAGACTAATGATTCATGGAAGTACCAGCACTGTGGACTCTCTTTGTCATCTCAATGGTTGGGGGAGGTGCTCAATTCCCATACATGCTCTAGAGGTAACAGAATTAAGTATCTGTAGAACTTTACTTGATTATTTTCTGTCACATACTTTTATTTGACTGGGGATTTGGGAGAATTCATTTAACCTAAAGAACTATAATCTTTTTTTCTTCTTTTTTTGTGGCTGGCCAGTAAACAGATCAAACCTTGGACCTTGGTGTTACCAGCATCTTGCTCTAACTAACTGAGCTAGCTAACCAGCCAGCCCCAAGAACTATAGTCTTTACCCATCCATTTGCTCAGTTCTGATTATTTCATTACCCTAACTGTGCTCCGAAGTTTACCCTTTTTGGCTTTAAAAGATATGAGATTATAATAAATATTATTTAAGAAAAAAATTACAGGAAATGGAGGCAACAGTAACCTAATGAGACTAATGAAAGTAGGAGCAAGCTGTGGGAATCTTGAACAAGAATGATATTTTATTCCCACCTTATACAGTACTCCCTAACTCTTCTATAATTTAGTTTTACAAGAGACATCCTGAATTTATTTAGCATTTTACAGTTCACAAATACTTTTATATGTGTTATCTAATTTTGTCCTAAAACAACCACATGAGATCGATTGGGTAGTTTTTATTCTTTTTATTTTACAGATGAAGAAATTTAGGCTTAGAGTGGTTGAATGAGTGGCCCAGAGTCACAGATACAAAGACAGGAGTTGGAATCAAAAGTCAGGCAGGGCACTTTCTGCTGTATCACACAGCCCCTGAAAGTTAATAATATTATGTGCCAGTTTTTGTTTTTGTTTTAAATGACAGCTTTATTGAGATATAATTCACATACCATAAAATTCACCCTCTTAAAGTGTACAATTCAGTGGTTTTTCAGTACACTCAGAGCTGTGCAACCATCATCGTTACCTAATTACAGAATATTTTCATCACCCCAAAAAGAAACCCCTGTACCCAATAGTGGTCACTCCTTATTTCTTGCTTCCCCTAAGTCCCAAACACTAATCTACTTTCCTACTCTGTGGATTTTCCTATTCTGGACATTTCAAACAAATGTGATTATAAAATATGTGGCCTTTTGTGACTGGCTTCTTTCACTTAGCATGTTTTCAAGGTTCATCCATGTTGTATCATGTATTACTATTGTATTTCATTTTATGGCTGAATATTCCATTGTATGGATGTACTACATTTTGTTTATCCATTCATCAGTTGATGGACATTGGGTTGTTTTTACTTTTTGGTTTTTATGAATAATCTTGCTATGTATATTTGTTTACAGGTTTTTGTATTGACATGTGTTTTCATTTCTCTTGGGTATAAACCTAGCTGTGCAATTACTGGCTTTTTTAACTTTTTTGAGGAACCACTAAACTCTTTTCCACAGTGGCTGCAACATTTTACATCCCCAGCAGCAATTATGAGGGTTCCACTAGCTTCACATCTTTGTCAACACTTGTTATTGTCCACTTTTTGATTATAGTCATCCTAATGGGTATGAAGTCAAAATGAAGTGGTATCTTACTGAGCTTTTGATTTGCATTTTCATAAGACTTATGATGTTGAACATGTTTTTATGTGCTTATTGGCTATTTGTATATCTTCTATGGAGAAGTGTTTATTCAATTACTTTGCCCCTTTTTAAATTGGGTTGTCTTTTTATTTTTGAGTTCTAGGAATTATTTGGATGTTAGAGCCTTATGAGATATATGATTTACAGATATTTTCTCCCATTCTTTGGGTATCTTCACCTTCTTGATGGTGTCCTTTGAATCACAAAAGTTTTTAATTTCAGTGAACTCAATTTCTGTATTTTGGGGGGTCACTTATGGTTTTGGTGTCATATCTGAGAAACCATTGCCTAATCTGAGGTCATGAAGATTTACTCTTTTTCTTTTTTTTTGGCAACAGGTCAGTATAGCGATCTGAACCCTTGACATCTTAGTGTTATAACACTGTACTCTAAACAACTGAGCAACCTGGCCAGCCCAATATTTACTCTTATAAGAATTTTATAGTTTTAGCTCTTACATTTAGGGTTATGATGGATTTTGAGTTAATTTTTTTATATGGCATGAGGTAGGGGGCTTTAACCTCATTCTTTTGCTTGTGGATATTCAGTTGTCCCAGCACCATTTGTTGAAAACCTTATTTTTATATCCAAAATATCATTGTAGAAAAAATATTTAAGTTGCCCGTAAGACTACCATTCAGAAGTAATCATGTTTACTATTTGAGGTTTATTTCCTTATAGTTGTTTTTTGTGTGTATTAGTGTTAGTAATAAGCAAGTGTTATCTCATTAATCTTATTAATCCTGTAGGTAAATACTGTTATCCTCATTTTGTAGATGCAGGAACTGAGGCACAGAGAGGTTAGGAAGTCTAATTCAGCTATACATGGGCAGTAAGTGGTAGGCACCAGGATTTGAAGTCAGGCAGTGTGACTCTCTCCTTGCACAGTGTGTGGCATGTGTATGTGTGTGAGTTTAATTAGTATTGCATATTACATACAGTGTTGTTTTGGCCTTAGTCTCCCCCACATAAAAATGAGTGAATAATGTACATTTTAAGTGATAACAACTATAATAATAAAACTGATATTCTTGTACCCACCATTCAGGCAAGGATCACAGATAGTTTTGAGTGTGTTCCTTCACCAATCCTATTCTCTTACCTTGACCAGCCTCAGAATTAACTGTCGTTCTGAAATTTTTAAGCTTTCCTTTGATATTCTTTATTTTATTCCATATAAATATATCCTCAAATAATGCTGTTTAATTTTGTATAAAATGGAATTACTGTATATTTTTGAGACTAGTTTTTCTGTTTGTTTTTTTTTTCACTCAACATGATTTTTGGGTGATTCATTCAAGTTAATGTGTATAACTACAGTTAATCAGTTTCACCCTGTGTAGTATCCCAGTGTATGAATGTATCTTTATTTATCCCACTTTAGCTTGTTTCCAGTTTTTTGCTGGTACAAGCAATGTTGCTGTAAAGTTTCATACACATCTACTGCAGCAGAAATGCATGATTTTCTCTAGGTGGTAATAGAATTGTTGGGTCATAGGATATGCACATCTTTACTTTTACTAGGTAATGCTCTAGTTTTCCAAAATTGTTTTATCAGTTTATGCTCTCACCAGCAATGTATTTGAGTTTTCATTGTTGCATGTCCTTGCCATCACTGGTATATCCAGATTTAAATTTTTTTTTTTCCAGTCTGATGGTGTGATGGGTTTTAATTTGCATTTCTCTGATTAAGGTTGAGCATCTTTATTATCTTTATATATATATACACACACACACACACACATACATATATGTAATATTTCGATTTCTGTTGTAAAGTGTTCAAGTTTTTTGCCTGTTTTTTTCTTGGGGTGTTTGTCTTTTTCTTATTGGATTGTAGTGTTTGATATATTCTAGATACCAATCCTTTGTTATATGTGTAGTGAATGTTATTCTAATCAGTGGCTTCTCTTTTTACTTTCTTTGTGCAGTCTTTAATTTTAATGTAGTTCTTGATTAGTTAAGCTACATTAAAATTAATTTTTTCCTTTATGATTAGTGCTATTTGTGACTTCTCCTATCTTGAGGCCATAAAGATATTTTAAAATTTTCTCCTAAAAGGTTTTTTTTTTTTTTTCTTCAGCTGGCCAGTGCAGGGATCCAAAACCTTGACCTTAGTGTGATAACACTGTGTTCTAACCATGAGCTAACCAGCTAGCCCCTCCTAAAAGTTCTTAAATTGTTATTTTCACATTTAAGTTCTTTATGCATTTGGAACTTATATTCATTGTGTGGCTATTTCTTCTCATATTGATAATCATTTGTCTCTGCACCATTTTTTGAGAAGTGCTTCTTTTTACCACTGATCTGAAATGTCTATGTGTCATATATCAAGTTTCCATATATGCACAAGTTTGTTTTGGGGCTCTCTATTTTGTTCCATAGGTCTTTGTCTATCCCTGGGCCAATTCTACCTGTTTTAACTATATCGAATTTAAATAAGGGCAAATTCTCTCACTTTGTTCTTCTTCAGGAGTGCCTTTTCTCTCTCCCTTAATCCTGATATTTTAGGAGCAGTTTGTCAAGTTTCATGAAAAACTTAGAATTTTGATTAGAATTACATTAAACCTATGTATCTAATTGGGAAGAAGTGACATCTTTAGGATATTTAATCTATCCGTAAACATAGTCTCTTTCCATGTTTTTAGGTCTTCACTAATGTCTTTTAATAAAGTATTACACTTTTTACAATTTTCCATTAAAAGGTTGAGATCTTATGTTAGCTTTATTCTTGGTGTGTGTGTGTGTACATTTATTTAAATACTTTATATATTTATTATAAGTGGTATATTTTTAAAATACATTTTGTTTGTTGCCAATATAAAAAAATACAATTAACTTTAATATATTGATTTTTGTATCCAGCAAATTTGTTAAATAAATCCTAATAATTTGACTGTTAGATTTTATTCAAGTTTCTATATAGTTAATCTACATATAACATCAAAATAGGGCCAGCCCGGTGGCACACTCGGTGGAGTGCGGCGCTTGGGAGCGCAGTGGCGCTCCCACCGAGGGTTCGGATCCCATATAGAGACCGGTCCGCTCACTGGTTGAGCGCGGTGCAGGCGCGACACCGAGGGTTGCGATCCCGTTGCCGGTCGCGGTACGGGCGTGACACTGAGGGTTGCGATCCCGTTACCAGTCACAAAAAAAGACAAAAAGGAAAAAAAAAATCAAAATAATACAATTTTGTTTCTTCTCTTCAAATCCTTGTCCTTTTTACTTCTTTTACCTATTGTTCTACTAGGAACTCTGGTATAATATCACCCAGAAGTAATAGTGCACATCTTTATCTTATTCCTGATTTTAAAAAAGAATACCCGTAATGTCTCACTATTAAGTATGGTTGCTCTGTGTATCTGTGTGTGTGTTTTAAGATACCTTTTATAAGGTTTAAGTAAGTTTCCTTTTTCTAGATAGGAGGTTTTATCATGAATGGGTAATGAATTTTATTGAATGCATATTCTGTATCTGAAGAGATAATCATATGAATCGTTTTTAATCTGTTACTGTGATGAACCATGTTAATTGATTTTTAAATTTTTATTGTGAGATATAACATGTATAAAGAAGTATGCAGAATACAGTTTAACAAATAATTTCAAAGCAAAAACTCTTGTAACCACCACCCAGGTCAAGAAATAAAACATTACAAGCATTCTAGGAGTTCCTTTGTGCCCTATACTAGTTTGGAAATTAAATATTCAGTTTCTGTTCTTTTAGAGGATATTCTAGGAAATATTCATATTTAAATTGCCAAACATAAAGTTAATAGCTCTATCCTTCTGGATAATATAAGTACCTTGAATGCTTTAACTTCATTTACCTTTTCCCTAATTATGTTATTGTTGTGTTTTATTTTTTTAACCACATTAGACATCATTATTATTATTATGTATTTAGGTTCATTTCCATTTACCCAGATACTAAATGAGGGTATTAAAAAGTTCATGATGGGCTGGCCTGTGGCTCACTCGGGAGAGTATGGTGCTAATACCAAGGCCACAGGTTTGGATCCCTATATAGGAATGGTCGGTTAGCTCACTTGGGAGAGCATGGTGCTGACAACATCAAGTCAAGGGTTAAGATCCCCCTACCGGTCATCTTTTTAAAAAAAAAAAATTTTTTTTAAAGTTCTTGGAAAGGTTTGTAATCTTTTTTTTTTTTTTCAGCTAGTTGGTATTGGGGATCTGAACCCTTGACCTTGGTGTATAACACCATGCTCTAACCAACCAAGCTAACCAGCCAGACCTGTATTATCTTTTAATTCTATTTTTCCATGAACTTTTTGAAGTATGCCCGTACATTTTCTTTGCCCTTCATTTTTTTTCCCTCACGTTTTAGGCCTTCCCTCTGCCTGAAGTATATCATTTAGATTTTCCTTCAGTGAGGGTCTGACTGCTGCTGAACTCAGTTTTTAAACTAACTAATGATGTATATTTTTCCATAACTCTAAAAAGATATTTTTATTGGGTTTGGAATTCTACATAGGCAGTTGTTTTCTTGCAGTGTATTCATGCCATTGTTATTGAGAAGTCCAATATTTATCTCCACTCCCACGCTTCTTTTGCAGTCTTTGTTTTTTTTTTTTTGTCTTTTTTTTTTTTCATGTCAGGCAACGGATCGCAACCCTCAGTGTCGCGCCCGTACCGGACCGGGACCGGCAACGGGATCGCAACCCTCAGTGCTGCACCCGCACCTTGCTCAGCCAGTGAGCGGGAACCGGTCTGTATGTGGGATCCGAACCCTCAGCAGGAGCGCTGCCGCGCTCCCAAGCGGCGCACTGTAGCAGTGTGCCACCGGGCCGGCCCTGCAGTCTTTGTTTTTAATGTTCTGCAGTTTCACTATGATTTATGTCTCACTAAAGGCCCTCAGTTGAAAAATATTGGTCTGTGTGATACTAATTCTTTAAAATTTGTTGAGACTCAGTTTATACAGCCTTGTAAGTACTCAGTTTTTATAGATGTTCCATTTACTTAAAATTGAAAATGTACTTTTCAGTTGTCACACAGGTATTTCCATCAGAAGTAGTCAGATTTTTGAGCTGGTCAGTTTGTCAGTGGGTTAGAGCATGGTGCTGATGACACTAAGGTCCAGGGCTCAATCCCTATATTGGCCAGCCACTCCACCCCCCCAAATTTTAAAATGGAAGGGTTTTCTAGTCTAATAACCTCCTGTTTCTACTGAAGCAGAAACTGATATTCAGAAAGGTTATGGAGTCTTGTCCCAGATGGCATAATTCGTCATTGTCAGAATCCTTGCTAGAACCCAGGTAGTCATGCTGAATAAAGACAGCCTTGTGTCTCCTTTAGTTCTTAGCACCTTAAGTTCTAAGGTGTAAAAAAAAAAAAAAGTCTGTATCTTGGTTTTTTTCGTATTGTAATTTTTTTTCTGATTATCCCACCACCACCACCATTTTAGGCTGGGATAGAAAATCGTCAGCTGGACACAGTAGATTTCTTTTTGAAGAGCAAGGAAAATCTTTTTAATCCATCCTCAAAATCTTCTGTACCTGATCAGTTTGAGCACTTTCCATCCCATTTATATTTAAGAAGTAAGTAGAATAAAGACTTCTGCATTTGTATTTATCATTTTATCTTTTTAATCACTTTCAAATTATTGTTTTCTGATGACTTGTTTACTTGCTAAAACTCAGTCATGGGATTTAATGTACTTGGTGGAAACTTGAGGGAGTTGTTAGAATCTATAAATGTTCTCTTTCTTTTTTTTTTTTCTTTTTGTCTTTTTTCGTGTCTGGCAACGGATTGCAACCCTCAGTGTCGCGCCCGTACCGGACCAGGATCGGCAACGGGATCGCAACCCTCAATGTTGCTCCCACACCTCGCTCAGCCAGTGAGCGGGAACCGGTCCGTATGTGGGATCCGAACTCTCGGCGGGAGCGCCACCACACTCACAAGCGGCGCACTGCTACAGTGCACCACCGGGCCGGCCCTAAATGTTCTCTTTCTAAGTGGAGTATTTACTGTTCATATCCTGTACTGGGCTTTGTATTTTTAGGGTGCAAGGAAGAGACAAACTTTCAAATTCAAGAGAATTTTATAAAAGTGAGAATAAAATTCTTTAGGAAAATCGCCTCTTCTTGCAACTGCCTGAAATGTGTGTTGATAGTATGGTTTTTCTGAGTTGTGGGCTGGGACTGGTTATAAAAATTTTCATCCTTATTCTTCTGCTTTTTTGCTACATTACCAACACTTCTTTTCAAAATTTTGGCTTTCCTTTTTAACAAATAGAAAGCCAAACTCCCTGTATGTCTCCTTGGTTGGCTTCTCATGCAATAATAAGCCTTTTTCTTTTCACAAAAGCATGTGTCACAGTCTTTGGCTTTGTGTGTGCATCAGGTAGCAAGCCCATTGCTTGGTAATGTGTACATACAGTTTTATGATCTGCTTTTTTTACTTGATAAGATATACATCTTTCTTGTTAATAGGTATATTTATTAACTATGGTAACAAAGAATTTCACTGTATGGACTGTACCATAATTTACCCAGCCACACTCCTACTAGATGTTTAGATTGATTCCAGTTTTTAAGTATTGACAACATGCTATAAATGCTATATGTGTGTGTATAATTTCACATGTGTATGATTGTTTACTTTAGATAAATTCTAGATGTGGAATTTCCAGGTCTAAGAGTATACAATTAACGTTCTTAAATGCCCCCAAAAAGCTTTATCAGTATGTACTCTAGTTACATGGAGAAAATGATAGCCTGCTCTTTTTCCACTGATGTAGTGTTAGTTCTCACTGAGAGTATGAATTAGACGTTTTCTTTTTTAAAAATGTTATCTTTTGTTTTGAGTGTAGTTTGGTTACCTACCTCTTGAATTGCCAGCTTTTTTAATACTCCAGTTTGTTTGTCTTGATCTGCTGGCATTTATAGGTCTGATTTGTGGTATTGAGCAGGGCTTCCTCAGAGATTGTGTGGTCATTATTCACTTCTGCTATTTGGCGGTCAGTGATTTCTCCTCATTCTACTCTGAACTGCACTGTTCTCTAAAGGGTGGAGGAGATGGGTTTGGAATAAGAAGCATGGGGATATCTTTACCTACTCACCTGAGGGGAAAACCCATGTTTCCCATAATTCTCACTCACATAGATGTAATCCTAAAGGTGGGGCCAATGCTGAGATAAACAGGAGTCACTTCGTTTGGGCCTTTAGCTGCAAATAGAGGATTCAGGGGCCCACACTTTTTGCTCTCACCAGCATGGTGGCTTTGGAATCAGACAGGCTTAAGTTCAAATTCCGTCCTCTCAAACTCAGTTTCCTCAACTATGGGAAAGTGAATATAACACCTACCTCTTAGGTTGTTCAAAGGAATAAATAAGATAATATTTATAAAACACTATGTACAATAATTAAGATATAATTGGCCAGCAAAATGGTAGTTAATAGTAATACTAGAAAAAAAGCAATAACTATTATTAATTAGAATTGTTAAAATTTGTAGGTAGTAAGTCTTCATAAAAGCGTAGAGAGCTTTTTGAAAATAACACGTTGGTTCTTGTTTTGTGTTTTAAAATATTGCAACATGGTATTTTTGGTTAATTTATTGGGCTATCCTTGTGCTCCTCATGTTAAGTTCTTTGTTTCTTAGATGTGGAAGAGCTGACACCAGCATTGGATTTACTTTGCTCAGCAATTAGAGAAAGTGATTCTGAAACCCAGAGCAAACATTTTTCAGAACAATTGCTTAATGTTACACTGTCTTTCCTTAACAAACAAATAAAGGAGCTTTTTATTTACACTGAAGGTAAGAATAGCAACAAGGGAGGGGGGCAAGTGTACCATTCCTGTGTCAGGACAGAGATACAAGTGCTGCTATTACATGAGAGAACATCAGCCAGTGGAGTGCCATTTGCTAAAGTTGGGTAAAGTCAGTGGGTAATTGAATGAAATGGGTTTTGATACTGGGAGAGTTGGATGAAAGACCCAGGATTAATCATTGTGAAGAGTGTGAAAAGGGTTGTATTAAAACACAGAGCTGCCACATCCCCCTGAGGTCTGCATCCAGCCCAGCCACTACCAAGCCACTGCCAGAAGCCCCCAGGCTCCTCTGCCGAAATGAGGGGGGTGCCGTGGGCCTCGACCATGCCCCCTCCCTGCTTCCTCATCCTCATATGTTATCCGCCTCCCCTTTCCTCTCTCCCCCTCCACTCCATCTGCTCCACAACACCTTCAAATGTAAAAATAATAATAATAATAAATTAATAAATAAGATAAATTCAAATAATAATCAGGCAAGTCAGTTGAACTGAAGTGAGAACAACAAGTTTGGGTAAATAACAAACTACAAAAGGGAAAAAACAGCTAGAATTCTTTATAACAGCTCATGGTATATTCTTTTTCTCTGTCGTATATATGTATATGTGTGTTTATACATACATACACACACACACAAATAGATGAACTAGCACATTGGTATCTCCACAGAGCTAGATGAACATCTGCAGAAAGGAGTGGACATTTTGACCAGATACATTAATGAACTTCGAACTTTCATGATAAAGTTTCCCTGGAAACTAACAGATGCTGTAGATGAATATGATGTAAATGAAAATGTCCCCAAAGTCAAGGACAATGAAATATGGGAGAAACTCAGCTGTGAGGTAAATATGAGTAATTATTCTTTTATTTGCCAGGTTCAGAAACAGAATTTATTTATTTATTTATTTATTTATTTTTTTTTTTAAAGATGACCGGTAAGGGGATCTTAACCCTTGACTTGGTGTTGTCAGCACCACGCTCACCCAGTGAGCGAACCGGCCATCCCTATGTGGGATCCGAACCCGGGGCCTTGGTGTTATCAGCACCGCACTCTACCGAGTGAGCCACGGGCCGGCCCAAGTTTACACTTTTGAATTCAGAAGAATATATTAAAGAAAAAAAAGACTTATGAGTCATTTAGTGAGAGAGGGGTACTACTTAAAATTGCAGTAAAATGGAAGGTCTGATACAACTCAAAAAATAAAATTAAAACATAATTGGAAAGAAACTCTAGGTGCCAACTGGCACACAAATGGAAGGAAATTGCTTTAGCTGGTGAGTGAGAAAATAGGAATGATGAATTAACTGAGGTTTGGTCACCACAGGACTTGCTAGAATGTTTCAGGAATGTTGTGAATATTACACACAAGGGCTTATTGAGAATATTTACAGCCTTAAATATAAACATTACCTAAACAGAATTTAGAAGAATTTATATACTTGTGATTCAGAATGTTTGGCAAGGGTTTTAGGTTTTATAGGATTTTGTGTCTCTGGGCATGGCTTCAAATTTATGTCTGTAAGCTCTGTTTATTTATTTCAGAACACAGATAGGCTCCCTCTTAAGGCCACATCTACCCACTCGGATCCAGTGACAAACATGCAACCCCCAAACTTATGTAAAGTGGCACTCCCTTAGCAGTACTCCCTCACTGGCTAGGGTCCGGCACTTTGTACTCATGCATTCTGCCTGACCTCTGAATAAATTGAATTGCTGCTTGTGCTTAGATCTTAGGAAGTTTCTATTTTATGACATTATTACTTGGAAGTATACTCTATTTGAGTCCTAACTGAAATTCTAGTTCAGAAATTTTGCCAGCTGAATTTTCTGTGTCCATCTATTTGCCTTTATTTTTATAGTAGATGTTATTACAACTAAAATGTGTTGCCCTTTGTATGACTTAGGGACTAGAAGAATCTTTCTACAACATGGAGAGTGTTGGTATTGTAAAGAAAAAAGCCAAAATAACAGAGATGATCAGAATCAATAGGGAGTGAATGTAATAAGATTGAGGCACTGCAATTTCTCAGGACTGCTGTTTTGGGGGTGGAGGGATAGAGAAGTAGCTGGTATGACTGCATTTTCTGTATCTCTTCATTTTCTAGCCAGGAACTACTTACTTTTCCTTCTGCTTTTTTGGCTGCTTTTTCCTATCTCCTTCACAGGTGTTTCTTCCTATTTTTCCTCCTTTAATGTTCTCCAATGTTCTATCCATGGTTCTCTGCTCTTTTTACTCAAAATCACTGATTTATAACTTTTTGGGGGGTGGGAGTTATCGTTCAGTTTGATAAAAGCCATGGACCTTGTCTCCAAAAACATACATGTGAATGTGTGCGTATACACATACACACAATTTTGCACATGGCTTAATGTGGATTACAGACCACTTTAAAGCCCAAGATTAAGATGCCTCCTTTCTGTTCTCTGGGGTTTAGATCATCAAGTCTAGGTCTTTATTTCTTCTCACTTGGATTATTGCAGTAACTTCTCTTGCCTCACTATCTTGAGCTTGAATCACTTTCAGTCCATTCTCCACATTGCTGCCTGAATATTTTTTCTAAAATAAGTGTCTGATTATATCACCTATTGCTTTTAAGTTCTTTCAGTGTCCCCACATAAGCTTCAGGATAAATTCCACCTCACACACAGAATGTATTTAATGATGGAACTTCTGCTTTTCCTTTTTCTCATCTGCTACTCTCTCCAGCTTTTCTTCAGTTATATTGAGTAATTTGGAGTTCTCTGAAGGCTTGATGTGGTTTCTTTCCTTTGGTCTTTATATTTCTCCCTCATCAGTTACCTTTATTTGGAAGCTGCTTTTTTGTTGTTTTATTTTTGGTCACCCGTCTTATTTAGGTGCTCCTCTTCTGGACCCTTATCTCTAGCACCCTGGGATACCATTATTATAGCCCCGTCACACAGTACTATAATCTTCTTTATTTGTGTGTCTTCCACTAGACTACAGGCTTCTGGAGAGTAGGGTCAGTGTTTTAGTTAACTTGATATACCCTGTGCCTGGCCCCATATCTAGTCGATTTTCAATAAAAGTCCCTTAGTAGGTGCTAAGGAAGTATATGTCCACATTGATAATTATTAATAAGGAAATAAAAATGAACTTAAAAGGCAAATATTTTTCTTCCTTTTCCTAGGAAGTTATTTCCAATGCCATTTTAAACAACAAAATACCAGAGGCACAAACCTTCTTCAGGATTAAGAGGCATTCTGCTCAAAGACTCGAGGATCTGATTAGAATAGGCCTAGATTTGGTCTTTGACAGTTTGAAAAAGAACAATATAAAGGAAGCCTCTGAACTTTTGAAGAATATGGTGAGTGGTGTGATCTGTTTGTCTGATCTTAAAGTCCCTAATGTAAGAAAAGGAATGTATGTATGTATTTATTTGAGGGGGGCACTGGCAAGTACAGGGATCAAACCCTGGACCTTGGTGTTGTCTGCACCATGCTCTAACCAAGTGAGCTAACCGGCCAGCCCTATAAATTGATTTGTATTCATAGTTCTGTCACAAACTAAGAGATTTGTGTAGTCTTTACTATGAAATAATGATAATAGTAATAAATTCTGGTCAAGATGGAGGAATAGGCAGTCCTCAGCATCACTCTCTCCCACAAATCAACCAATTTACAACTATTAAAAAGCAACAACAGCCAAGCTGGGGCCGCTAGAGCTCAGGGGAAGAGGAGGAGGAACCTATGAAGTTCATGAAGGCAGGAGAAGCCACAAAGAGAGAAAGAAAAGATTGCTCCTGCCACTTTGAGCCCCAGCTGCTTCAGGGTTGGAGCTGGTGAGCACACAGATCAACAGCTAGCAAAAGCTGCAGCTGTGCCCTTTGTGTGAAGTTGCTTGGAGACGGCAGGGGAGAAGAGGGCCTTGGTGGCCCGCAGGCCAGTAGGACCACTAACAGGGTTCCTGTGTACCCACATAGGAACGAGGAGCCAAAGACTACTGAAAAAAGGAGCCACTGAGAGGCTGGTGAGCATCGCAAGGGACTGGCACATGGCCCGTCCTAGTGTTTGAAGCACAGGTGGTGGGGGAGAAGGGCCCACTGGGGGAACATTAGGGCACAGCATGGACAGCTGATCTGCCCTCCAGTCAGCACAGGACCACTCAATGGAGATTGGTCCTGAATATAGAACCTCAGGGGGTGAAGTTTGCTGAAAAGACTCAGGCCTGAACCAGTTTCCACACAACCCAGGGACACTGGACTTCACAAGACCTGGAAATATATACAAGTTCAACAGACCTGAGCTGCACAAAAATCCTTCCCCAGGGAATCAGCAGCAAAGCAGCAATTTAGCTCAACTACAGGGCTCAAGTGTTGGTCCCCACAGGAAGTTCTTCCATTTTAGAAGTAAGCAAAGGACAACAAATTAGTTACAGTGCAGAGTTTAAGTGGTGGGAACAGCGAATAATCCAACACAGAACTGAAAGAAAAGACAAAATACCCACAGATCAGAGACAAAGTTTGATATTAACTAGTAAAGGTCTAACACCACCGAAGAACACATATAAAACCTAGAAGGACCAGAAGCCCCCTGGGCTCCCAAGCCAGGGTAGGGGGAGGGCCCTGGGCTTCAGCCATGCCCCCCAATGACCACACCCAGCCCAGCAATGACCAGCAGATCACCACTGGAAGCACCCTGGGCTCCAAAGCTATGGTGATGAGGTCTAAGGGCCTCAGGTGCACACCCCCAACATCCATAACCAGCCTAGTGGCAACCACTGAGCTGCTACCAGAAACAGCCTGGGCTCCTGAGCTGGGGCAGTGGGGGGCCGAGAGCTTCAGTCACACCCCCCTGACATCTGTTTCCAGCCCAGCAATGACCGAGCTGCCACTGGAAGCCCCCTGGTCTCCCCTGACGGAACGAGGGGGGTGCCATAGGCCTCTACCATGCTTCCTCTTTCTTATCCTCCAACCCTATTTCCCTCCCCCTTTGACTCTCCGCCACCCCCCCAACTGCTCCACAACATCTTAGAATGTAAAAAAGTAATAATATTAATAAATAAATAAATTTTTTTAAATGATATTAGTAATACTGAGAAATGTTCCTTGATACTGAGGACTTTCTTGAAGAGATTTTTTTCTCCACAGCTTTATTGAGGTATGATAGACAAAATTATATATATTTAAGGTGTACAAAGTGATGTTTTAATATATGTATACTTGTGAAAAGATCACCACAATCTTTTAAGAATTCTAATCTAATTAACATACCTATCGCCTGTCATAGTTACCAGTGTGTGTGTTGGGGGGGGGGGGCAAGAATACTTAATATCTACTCTCAGTACATTTCACGTACTTTATGCAATATTTTATTAACTGTATTCGTCATGCTGTTCATAGGTCTCCAGAACTTACACATCTTATAACTAAATGTTTGTACCCTTTGACCAGTATCTCCTCCTTTCCCCTACCCTCTAGCCCCTGGTAACTACCATTCTACTCTTTGTTACCATGAGTCCAACATTTTTTTTTCTTATATTCCACGTTTAAGTGAGATCATGCAGTATTTGTCTTTCTGTGACTGGCTTATTTCAACAAGCATAATGTCCTCTAGATTAATCCATGTTGTCACAAATGGCAGGATTTCCTTCTTTTTTAAGGCCAGATAATATTCTACAGTATATATACACATCACATTTTCTTTATCCATTCATCTGTTGATGGACACTTAGGTTGTTTCCATATCTCTTGAAGAGATTTTTAAATGTGTTTCCATCATCTGCTCCGTGTTAGACCTGGCACTTTGGTTAGGAGCAAATGATGTTTCTCACAGAAGACTTCACACATGTCAAAGCATGCACAGGAACTCATTATTAGAGGACATTCAGTATTGTTCATGTGACCCCTTATATCTCCATTGGATTATGCCTTTGCCAGAGCTTCATGCTCCATGGTTTTACTTCATTTGAGAAAGAGAAGTTTTAGAAGTAGGGCTCCTGGACTTAGCTGAGATCTGGCCCTAATCTGCATGGTTGGGGTCTAGCCCATGATAACTTTCTGGAAGTACAGATGAGTGGAACTATATAAGGGGTGATTGTTTATGTTGACCTTTGTTTTCAAGTGAAACATTATAGCAGATTGCTATAGTTTTGGTCCTTTGCCTTAAACTGTTCTAGGTGCTGCCTTTGCTCTGGCAAAATGCTTAAGGACTTAAGGAATGGATAGTAAATACATGTAATAAATGTAAGAAAATGAATGTTTGCAAGAGTAGAAAAGCTGTGGAATTCTAACAGAGTCATGTCCATAATAGAGTACTTCTGTATCTAACACATATTTATGTTCAAAATAGTTCCATTACAAAATGTAAGTTTTTTTGGTTTTCTGTGTTTCTTATAGGGCTTTGATGTAAAAGATCAGTTGCTCAAGATATGCTTCTATACAACTGATAAAAACATACGGGACTTTTTGGTAAGTAAAAGTGAGATATGTAGTTTACATTCTTTGGAAAGCCATGGTGAAAAACTGGAAGAAAACCTTGGAAGAAAAACTCCTAAATAAATAACTTTAACATTAAACTAATATCTATTAAGTAAAAGTGTGACAACCCCTTTATCTTTTTAAATAATTATTTTACATTTGTGGCAAAGGAAAATTTGTGTGAATATACATTAACTCAGAAATTGAAAATATGATTCTTAAATGGCATTTAATCTCATATTTGTTTTTGAAAATGTGCTTAACTTTTGTGAGGTCATTGCTTTAATTTAACCATTTTTTATTCAAGGTTGAAATTTTAAAAGAAAAAAATTATTTTTCCGAAAAAGAAAAAAGAACTATAGACTTTGTGCATCAAGTTGAGAAATTTTATTCAGGACATTTCCAAGAAAATATGCAGATCCAGTCCTTTCCCAGGTAGTCTCATTAGTCCCCTTTTGATAATATTGTGAGAATATTGTAGATAATGTTTAATTCGTAATTGTTAGTGAGCACAGGTTTCTTATGTGGATCAGAGGCTACATTCCCCATGAAGATAAAACTTGTGTCATATAGAAGGGACTCGGGAACTCCCTGTCATTTCAGTATTTGCATCATCAGAATTATGTGTTCCTCAAAAGGGTAGAAGTTCTTGAGCACATAAAAAGGAATGATGCCTTTTCTTCCAAAATTACAAAAAATTAATATCACTATTTTTAGGTATTGGATAAAGGAGCAAGATTTTCTGAAGCACAAATGTGTTTTGGACTCATTCCTGAAATGTGATCATAAAGATGAATTCAACAAACAGAACCATAGAATTGTGTTAAATTGGGCTCAGTGGTGGGATCAAATAACAGAAGAATCCATCCTTCTCCCCAGGATAAGTCCAGAAGGTAAGTGTAAGAGAGCCTGAAATATAAGCATATTGAATGAGGATTAAATTTGGTATTGGTATTGGAATATTTTGGTGTGCCTTCATTTTAGAATTCCTTCTGGGGGAAAAATACTCAGTTTCTTTACAATGCAAATCATTGTATTAGATCTCTTTCTTAAGGTTTTTGTGAGGGATTTATAATGTAATGAAAGAAATAAGTCATATGGTTCAGTGAATTCAGATTTCAAGGCTAAGAGTTTTCATCCCAGCTTCATAGTGACATTCTTTGTTTTTCCAAATAGTATTCAGTTTCTTCTTATGTAAATTGTGGATCTGTATCACCTCAGGGCTCCGGGGAATAATTAACAGTGGTAAACAGTGGCAATTCACAGAGTCAAATTCATGTTTATTATTTCAGCTGAAGTTTTTATTTATGTTAAGGGAAAGAAAAGAGAGGAGGATTAAACAGGTAAGTGAATACACAGCTAATACCCAAGTTTCATTTTAACTACTGTAGCAATGAGAAGCAACATTTAGCTTTCCTCTGGATGTAGTATTGATTATAAAGTGAACAACACAAAAGAGGAAAATAGAAAAAAGGCAGAGGATCTGAATAATTCATATATTATATAAATATTTATATCCAGATTGTTGTATTTACTCAGTAGTTAATTCAATGTTCAGTTATATATCAATAATCATAATTCATTGCTATTTTAAAATGTGCTTTGTTCTTCATGTAGAATACAAATCATATTCCCCTGACGCCCTCTGGAGATACCTCACAGCTCACCATGATTGGTTAAGCATTATCTTGTGGACTGGAGAATTTCAGACCCAGAATAGTTATGTCTCACTTCAGCAGAACAAATGGCCCCCTCTGACTGTTGATGTTATTGATCAGAATACTTGCTGCAACAGCTACATGAAGAATAAAATTTTAGATATGCTCGCAAGGTATTGTGACTGTTGAACAAAATCCCCAGTGGGAAGAATAAAAGGAAGAGCAATAATAAATAATGGTGTAAATTTTCCTTTGAAAATGCCATAAATCCAGTGTACTGTTGTTTCATATTTTTATAAAATCTAAAGGGCATTCTCTTATACTGAGGTTTTTAAATCATATGCATTTAACATCATGTAGCAGTGAATAGTCTCTCAAATTCTAGATGTAGGTTCTTCCCCAAACATTTTATGCTCTTTGGTGTAGCAATGTTATGCTGTCAGTAGGGCTATAGGGAACAAGTGGCAAGAGCTGAGGTAAGGATTCCTTAGTGTCCTGTAATTATGTCCCACTCTTCTCCATATTATCACTTGTACCCATGTATGGCCTTGAAGTAAAGAGGAATGCTGAATTAAGAAATAGTGAGGGGAGGTAGCACTTGAAGTGATAAGTGAAGATTTTAAATAAGGAAAGTTAATAACATGTATGTTAACAACATGTATGTTAATATGTATGTTAATTTCTTAGTTTGTTAAACTTATTTTGTATTTATTATTTTCTGTTTATACTTATTGGGATATACTTATATCTGTATCGTCCTACTTAAAGATGTTGAGAGTCAGGTCCAGAGAAGTTAAGAGCTTTGCCCAAGCCAGTTAGTTACAGACTTAAATTCTTTAACCCCAGTTCACCGTTCTTTCCATTGCACTAAATGTTCTTGTTTACTAAAAATAAGCTATTTGTAGGACTTGTGTGCTTACCACATATTTTGCTTAGCATTCGGTTGTTTAAAAAACTGACCTATGTATGGCTTAACACAAATTATGAAATTAATGAATTAATGAAATCTGCTATATTAACAGATTAAAGGGGGAAAAAATACTACCCTGTGAGATACAGAAAGCATTTGATAAAATTTAACATCTGTTTGTGATAAAAACTATTAGCAAACTAAACATAGATGCAAACTTACTTAATTTAAAAGTGATGTCTAAAAAAATCCTTCTAACTGACATACTTATTGGTGAAACATCACAGACATTCTCTTTAGATTTGGAACAAGACAAGCTGCTACCAATTATTTCCAAATTGATCTTTAGATATAGTGAAAACTCATTAAAAATCTCAACAGTTTTTTTTTTTTTGTGGATTATGACAAGCTGATTGTAAATATTTATATGGAAATGCAGAGGGTCAAGAAGAGCCCTGAAAAGGAACGTGCCCTCTCAGGTATCAAAACTCATTTTAAAATTAGAGCAACTAAGACAATGGGAGTATTGGTGCAGGGACAGACAAATAGACCTGTAGAACAGAAGAGTCACCATAGAAATAGACCTATACATGTGTGATCATTTTGTATATGACAGGTGGCACAGCACAACAGTGAGGAAAGAACAGTCTTTTGAATCAGTGGGGCTGAGATAACTGAATAGCTAAACAGGGGAAAAATGGAATTGAACTCCTAACTTATACTGTACATTAAATCAATCCCAGGAAGATTTTAAAATCTAAATGTCAAATGTGAAACTGTAAAGTTTTGAGATGGTATAGGAAAATATCTTCATAACCTTGGAAATATGGTATGCTTTCTGAAAGTCCTGAAGAGGCAAAAGAAGAACAGTTACTGAGACCAAGAAAGCTGCCTGGCAGGAGAGATGGCCCTTAGTGGAGGGTGTCAGTCAGCCAACCTGCAGTCACTCAGCACAGAGAGCCAGGGTATCCCCATCTTCCCCTCTTTCTGACTCTTATCTCCTGATGGAGTCCTCCCATAAGGTGAACCAAAACAAGCTTGAGGGCATAAGAGTTCTGTACAGCCCATACAGGTGAGCCTATAGGAGGAACACAGAGCAGGATGGGGAAGAGTAGAGCTTGGATGAGAGGAAAGATACCAGCACACAGGCATTTCACAAAAGAGCAAGCACAAATGGCCAATAAACATAAAAATATGCTCTTCCTCATTTGTAGTCATGGAAATGCAAACTGTTTTACCCAAAATCTATAAACAACTGAAATGACCCTTAAAGGTAGAATGAATAAATAAAATATAGTGTAATCATACAATGGAATACTATATAACAATGAAAACTAACTAACGATAGCCACAGGTATCAACATGGATAAATTACGCAATACTAAGTAGAAGAAACAAGGCAGAGAACAATATATCCAGAATGTTTCCTTTATATAAGTAAGTTCAAAAGGCATGCAATAGGGAATGAATACACCAAGGGCTTACATAGTATACTGTTCTATAATATGTGGTGGTTACATGGTCTTTCTTTAAACTCTGTATATATATTTTCCATACTCTTTTGTATGGTACATATGATGTATTGAACAGTAAATTTGTAAAAAGTAATATTTAAATGCAAATTTCTATTCTTGTTTAGTAGTTGATCTGTTTAAATTATTCTGCTCCAGCTTCTTAATGATTTTGTTTGGATATTTTGGTGAATTTCTCAATGCTCAGAGTATCTAGCTTTAAGAGCTAACCTCTGTTGCCACACCAGGTTGTACAGTTCCAATCAAAAACAAAAAAATGGAGATAGCTTAGTTTAGGTTTTTGAAATATTGAAGGTCACTTGAGACTGGCATTACTACCTTTAAATACTACAGTGGTACAGAAACCTTTATTGGAAACCAGCAAAATATGTGTCGTAGAACATATTTATAGAGAAAGAGTTAGCAGCCTTAATTTGTAAATACTTATTTTTAAGTAGTTGAGACTTAAGCAATGGGAGTGATTTAGTCTGCTCTGAACCTAGCAACTTTTTAATTTTCTGTTCCTTAAACCTGCCTGATAGGAATGGGATTTTTCTTGCATCTGAACTAGAAGACTTTGAACTCTACCTCCTAAGACTGAGTCGTATTGGGGGTGTGATACAAGATACCCTCCCTGTTCAAAACTATAAGACCAAAGAAGGTTGGGATTTCCATTCTCACTTCATTCTCTATTGTTTGGAGCACAGTCTGCAGTATCTTCTTTATGTCTATCTCGACTGTTACAAGTGAGTACTGAGAATTGAATTGTCCTTAAGCTAGTCTTCACGTTTCTTCTTTCCATACTATTTCTGAATGTGACTTTTTAGGAAAATATTAAGCATTCACATGAGGAATACCGATCTTTTTGAAATAGTTTCCCCACCTCAGTGTGGTACATCTTTAATTTCAGTGCTACATTCAACTAAATGCATATGTTTTTTGGTGATTTAATTCTGTAACATCTCTGTTAATCTTTTAAATAGTTCAAGATTAGAATAAAATAAAAGAAATGCTTTAAGAAGTTTGAGAGGAAGATTCTAAAGGTTCACTTGGAGTTCTTTGGTACTTTCACTACCAGGAGAATGCCAAACAACTTTGATTTCATAGCCACTTCAAGGTGTATTAAATATGCTGTAAAATTTTTATTTGTATTTAGGTAGATAGGTGTATTAGATATGCTCTAAAATTTATGCTCATATTTAGATACATAGGCAGGCAGACATGTATCAATATATATCTACCTAAGATCAACCTGCAGAATCCTATCCATGGCCAGTTTTAATTGCTATTGGGTGAGTAATAACAAGAACAATAGAAATAATCTCAAAATATGAATACTTAACAGTGTTCTTGGCACTAGGCTGAGTACTTTAGCCTAGTAAGTACTTGGCACTAGGCTAAGTTCTTGGCACTAGGATTAGCATTTCATTTAGTCTTCACAAAAACTGTATGGGTGGTTACTCCCATCTCTATGTCACAGATAAGGAAACTGAGGCTTTAAGAGAGACTAAGTGGCTCTGCCACATAACTTAAGGCACACAGCTAGTAATTGGCAAAGCCAGATTTAATTCTTCTTAGTGTTTGATTTCAGAGCCCACGATTGTGCACTAATAGAGAATGTTTTTATTTTATTTTGTGTAGTAAAGACTAGTAATTCGAACAGAGGATAAGATTTTGCTTTATGTCATTCAGGCTTACCTAGACACAGAAATGTTTTCTCCAGAACTACTTGCAAGAAAACAAATATAAGAGCCATATTTTCAAAATACCTATTCTGAGCCTTAACTCCTCAGCCTGGTAAAGGTTTTTTTAAATCTCTAATTAAGTTTGAAAATGCTAAAAAGTTTTTGTCTTAAAAAGTAATAAAAAGTAAAGTATCTTAAAGTGCAAGATATCTGTTAATCTTATACAGAATTGGTAAAATTTCATCATGGTAAGTACATGATGTCTCTAAAATCTCTCTCTAAAATTTGCTCCTTTACAGATTATAGGGAATATGTAAAACACAAGAATTGGGAGTATTTTGTGTTATATTTACTTTTTAATTCCAAGATTCTTTTCTTTTTCATGCTAGTTATTTATAACCTTGAGCAAACATGTTTATAACTGTCTGTTATATGTTAATCGCAGAGGAGGTTTTTTTTGTTTGTTTTATATACAGACTTAGTCCTGAAAATTGTCTCTTTTTGGAAAAAAAAGAGTTACATGAAGCACATCCTTGGTTTGAATTTTTAGTTCAGTGTCGACAAGTTTCCAGTAATTTAACAGGTATGGGTGTACTGTATTAAATACAAGAACTTTCTTTGGATGAGTAACTGGTCTGTTGAATGATATTTAACTTATGGACTCTTCAAATAAATCATCTGGCTGTAGTCAAATATTTGACTGTAATCTAAGTTCATGCTTTACTTAAGAAGCAAAAGACCGGGCCGGCCCGGTGGCGCACTGGATAGTGCGCCGCTTGGGAAGCGCGGCGGCGCTCCCGTCCGAGGGTTCGGATCCCACGTGTAGACCGGTTCCCGCTCACTGGCTGAGCGAGGCGCGGGAGCAACACCGAGGCTTGCGATCCCGTTGCCGGTCCCCGGTCCGGTACGGGGGCAACACTGAGGGTTGCGATCCGTTGCCGGACACGGAAAAAAAAAAAAAAAGAAAAAAAAAAAAAAAAAAGAAGCAAAAGACCAAAGATGTTAGCCTCTTGCCGGCAAAGAAAAGCCAGACTTGGAGCAGAGAGCTTGTGCTGCTATGTCCCCTTCCCCTACCTCAGCCTTGTACTTTGTTCGCTTTGGATTTCTCTCATCCTGCCAGTTTATCACAGGCTGAATTTCTGCTTTGTGGTAGATTGACACCCCTTTTCCGTGAAAAGTGGTCTGTCTTCCAGGTGCCTGCTCTGAATCTTTTACTGAGGAGCTCCAACTACAGTGAAAAATCCACAGTATGTGTGGGATTATTGTGTCCTCTGTAGTGGAACTACTGATGTAGAGCCTGTCTCTTGTTATGATTAGACCAAAAAGCCCTGTTACCCTGAGGACTTCATTGTTGTTATCCCAGAGATATGGGGAAGGGGGCAGGCTGAGTGACTACACAGGCAAGAAGTATCAATTGTTGATCTTTCATGTAATGCCTAGTGTCTCTCCAAATGAGGAATTTTTTCATAATGTGGGCTTTTGGTTTGGGATGCTGATTATAAAGTAATATATGTTCATTGTAATAAAAAAAAAAAAAAAATCAGAAGCCAGAGACAACTATCCATAGGTAGATAGCCTTAAGTACCTAAGAAGATAACCACCTATAGGTGACCATCAATAATATTTTAATGTATATTGTTCCAGTTACTTTCTCTGCACTTTCTTTTTACCTAGTCTGTGTTGTATTTCATTCATCCAGCAAATATTTACTGAGCTCCTTTGTGACAGACTGTTGTAAGTGCTAGGGATACAACAAGAAACATCTATGTGTTTTATTTTGTTTTTTGGCAGCTGGCCTATGGGGATCTGAATCCTTTACCTTGGTGTTATCAGCATCATGCTCTCCCAAGTGGCCACTGGCCAGCTCTGAAATCTATGTTTTTGTATACTTTTTTTGTGTAGTATTATAACATAAGAATTTTTCTGCATCCTTAGAGACAATGATCATTTTGAATATCTGCATAATATTTCATTGTATGTATATGCCATTATTTAATTTACTGTTCTCTCATTTATACCAATGAGGCTATTTTCAGATTTTTTTCTATTACTAATAATAGTCTTGAATATAAAATTTTTGTCCTTGCTTCGGATTATTTCCTTAGTACAGATAGGTTTTTGGGTATAAAATTACTAGATCAGGGGCCGGCCCGGTGGCGCACTGCTATGGTGCACTGCTTGGGAAGCACGGTGGCGCTCCCGCCGAGGGTTCGGATCCCACATACAGACCGGCCGCTCACTGGCTGAGTGAGGGGCGAGAGCAACACCGAGGGTTGCGATCCCGTGGCCGGTCCCGGTCCGGTACGGGCGCGACACTGAGGGTTGCGATCCGTTGCCGGTCACGAAAAAAGACAAAAAGGAAAAAAAAAAATTACTAGATCAAAGGTTATACCCCTTTTGAAGCTTCTTGCCATTAGGCCAGATTGCTTTCCAAGGGGGTTGTACCATTTTATCTGTAAGTTCCATCTCTGTTCACCTTGACCAGCTCTAATGCTTGATAAGGATTATTTTTTTAAATCATTGATTTTTAGGTGCTATTTGGCATCTGATTTTTTAATTTACATTTCTTTGTTTTTATTTTTTTGGTGGTTGGCAGGTATGGGGATCCAAACCAACTGAGCTAACTGGCCAGCTCTTGCATTTATTGTTAGTGTATTATATATTTTTATGTGTCAGACATTTATATTTCCTCCTTTGCAAAGTGGTTATTTCTTTTGTTCACTTATCAGTATTTTTGGCATTGATTTGTATGAGTTCTTTGTCAAGGACATTAATCCTTAGGTTGTCATTTGTTGTAATTTTTCCCCTAGTCCATTGTTATTTGGCAATTTTCTTTGTTTGAATAGAAGTTTTTATTTTTATGTAGACAAATTTTTCATTTTTGCTCCTTCACAATGTTTTCCCCCTGCTTTTAAACTTACAAAGTCCTTCTTACTGTGGATAGATTAAAAATTACTTTTCTTTCTCAGAATTATGTAATTCTTAATTTAGTATTTATCCCTCTTATGGAGAAAAATATACTCTTTTATTTTCCAGATCCCAAACTGATCTTCCAGGCTAGTCTTGCAAATGCACAGATTTTGATTCCCACCAATCAGGCCGGTGTAAGCAGTATGTTATTGGAAGGACATACTCTCCTGGCCCTTGCTACTACAATGTATGCTCCTGGGGGTGTCAGCCAGGTATGTACAGCACTTTTACCTATTACAGCAAAATAGGACTGATATTTAAATTTAGTAGAAATATCTATGGATTGTCTAGCTCTCAGTTGATATTAAAATATAAACATTTGCAAATATTTTATTAGATTAAAGAGCGTAAAGCAAGGGTAAATTTAAAGATTTTATATCACATCTTAAGTTGAACGGGAACTAAGGTGTTGTACAGAGACTTTTTATTCCCTTTAGTTTGTTTTCTAATCCTCCAGGTTTTTTTTCAGGATAGAATCAGGGTCTGATTGCTTCAGGAAATAAACATACTTTAGAACTGTGGTTTGTGAATTATTCTTTGCTATTTGCCTTCTTAGAGAGGTAAAAAGGAAACCATAATCTTTAGCTACCTATATAAACACTTTTGAGGGTTCTAGTGGAAATTTGCCCATTTTTACTTTTTGAAAGTATAGTGTGCCTGTTTAGAGGGAACTTAAGAATGCTGTTAAACATTCAGTCTTCAAAAGTTCTTACAGGCAGCTGGCCAGTTAGCTCAGGTGGTTAGAGCATGGTGCTGATAACACCAAGGTCCAGGGTTTGATCCATGTACTGGCCAGCTGCCAAAAAAAGAAAAGGTTTCTTACTGATGCCAGCTTCATTAATATCACCTCTTTTAGACTGTTGCAATATACAAGGGTACTTCAAAAAGTTCATGGGAAGATTTATATTATCTTTTACTTCTATTTTTCCACAAACTTTTTGGACTACTCTCATATCTTATATAGTTGTGTTAGTACTTTCTATCTCTTATAAGTGAATACCTGAAACTGGGTAATTTATAAAGGAATAAAATTTATTTCTTACAGTTCAAAGGTTGGGAAATCCATAGTCCAGAGGGCACATCTGGTGAGGGTCTTCTTAGTGGGAACTCTGTACAGGGTCCCGTGGTGACCAGGGTATCACATGGTGAGAATGGGCTGAGCAAGAGAGCTAACCTGCTCATTCACTCTCCTTTAAAGCCATCAGAACCTTAGGGCCAGCCTGTGGCTCACTTGGAAGAGTGTGGTGTTGATAACACCAAGGCCACGTGTTCGGAACCATATTTAGGGATGGCTGGTTGGCTCACTCTTACTGACAACACCAAGTCAAGGGTTAAGATCCCCTTACCGGTCATCTTTTAAGAAAAAACACCAAAACATCAGAACCTTGCCCATTACTCCATGAATAGATTAATCCATTCACAAGGGCACTGTCCTCACAATCTAATCACCTCTTAAAGGCCCCACCTTTTGGATACCATAATTGGATTTCTCACCCTCTTCACACTGTTACAATGGAGATTAACTTTCCAATACATGAACTTTTGGGGGATACATTCGAACCATAGCAATGGTTAAGTTTGTTTATTCCTTCATTTTTAGTTACCTATCAGAAATTAGAGTCATAGAATAACTAGAGTTGAAGGGAAGGACCTGGGAATCATCTAGTCTAGTAGTTTTTAAATCTTGTTTACTATGTAATATTCAAATATTTTAAGTATTGTAGTAGTAGAGCCTTTTTTCAAACTTTTTCACATACAGTTTGAAAACCACAAATTTAGCTTAACTTCCTAATTCTGCAGATGAGGAAACTGAGTGAGGCCTGATATTAAATATCTAGCCCAAGGTCACACATTCTTAGAACCAGAACTAAAACTATTAACTTGTGACTACTTGTCCAGTGCTATTTTCACTGCCATATATTCTCTCAAGCTAATCTTGTTTCATAAGGTTCTTATGAAAAAAGGACTTAATTTTTGAGAAGGGAAAAACATTACATTCTGTTCTGTTTTCCCTCAGGTGGTTCAGAATGAAGAAAATGAGAACTGTTTGAAGAAAGTGGATCCCCAGCTACTGAGGATGGCATTAACTCCTTACCCCAAGCTAAAAACTGCTCTCTTCCCACAGTGCACTGCTCCTAGTGTCCTGCCACCTGATATTACACTCTACCACCTTATTCAGGTACAGTATTTGGGTGGCCAGTATTTAGGTGTATCAGTCATAGTTCAGCCAAGAAAACAGAAACCATTCTAGGTCTTTTTAATGGAGAGCATTTAACACAGGGAATTACTGACACAGTGTGACAGCAGTATAGAGAAACCAAACATGTGATGGTAAGACAACCCCAAATCAGCAAAACAGGAAGCCATCAACACCCTTAAAGCTGCAAGAACCATGCAAGAAATTGTTGTTATCTGAATCCAGAAGGTGGAAGCTAAACTCACAACCAGGCTGCCTAATGGGAATTGAGAATATAGAGGGTGAACCTAGAAACTTGGAGGAGATGCCCCCAGAAAACAAAGGAGAGAGAAAATATCTCGGCTTCTCCCCCTTCCCACCTTTAATCTCCCGCAGTGTCTCTTGTGGCTGTATTTATCTGATAACCAAAAGGCAAGGGAGCTTGAGAAGTGCAGTTCCCTGCAGTGCAGTGCAGAGCAGATCAGGGGAAGGGTAGAAATGGATCAGAGAGCAAATGGATGACTGACATACCTGTCTGCTGCTTTCATCAAAAGCTGCTTCATGCTACTACTGATAACTTTTAACTATCTCTTCTCAGTGAATCAGGGCTGTTTGTTTAAATCAGTGCTTCTTAACCTTTTTCAGGACAGAGACCTCTACAAGAATGTTAGAGAGCTATGAACCCACTACCCAGAGAAATTACACATATGCATATAGTTTTGCTTATATTTTTAAGGGATTCACAGACTCCCTAAAGCCTATTCAGGGATCCTCAGTTAGCAACACCTTCTTTTCCTCATTTCAAAAGGCTTTTCCTTTTTTTCTCTGGGTACACATATTTTCATAGTGTCTTCAATTCAAGATAAGCTCTATAATTCTATAAAGAATTAATACAGAATTATATAGAATTATTTTATAATTCTATAAAGGTACAAAATCTCCCTTACTCTAATGTGAAGAATTCTTAAGGTATACACTGGTCCTACTCAAAAAGTGTGGTCCAGGGCCGGCCCCATGGCACACTCGGGAGAGTGCAGCCACGGGTTCGGATCCTATATAGGAATGGCCAGTGCGCTCACTGGCTGAGCACAGTGCCGGTGACACCACACCAAGGGTTGCGATCCCCTTACCGGTCACGAAAAAGACAAAAAGAAAAAATAAAAAAAGTGTGGTCCAGGGCCGGCCCCATGGCACACTCGGGAGAGTGCAGCCACGGGTTCGGATCCTATATAGGAATGGCCAGTGCGCTCACTGGCTGAGCACAGTGCCGGTGACACCACACCAAGGGTTGCGATCCCCTTACCGGTCACGAAAAAGACAAAAAGAAAAAATAAAAAAAGTGTGGTCCAGGGCCGGCCCCATGGCACACTCGGGAGAGTGCAGCCACGGGTTCGGATCCTATATAGGAATGGCCAGTGCGCTCACTGGCTGAGCACAGTGCCGGTGACACCACACCAAGGGTTGCGATCCCCTTACCGGTCACGAAAAAGACAAAAAGAAAAAATAAAAAAAGTGTGGTCCAGAGATGGGGGCCAGTCCATTGAAAACTGCTTGTTGCTGGAATACAGTGAGATTAAGATCTTGCACCAAAATGTAAATCTAGTACATTGTTTAGTTCACCAGGCTTTTTTTTCTTTATTTTTTCTTTATTCTTTTTCACTCTTAACAATGCCCAATGATCAGCAGGCTTTTTTTTAGTAGCAAGAGTTTCTTGAAGAAGAAAGCAGTATGCTGGATTTATATTCTGGCACAAACATCTTATCTCATTGCAGACCAGTAATTTGAGTAGTACTGGTATAAACTATCTGTGGATTATATAAAAACATAGTTTTACTACCTAAAGTGGTTTGAATCAGCTTGAAACATAAGTAGTTTCAGGTTGTTGTTTGTTCTGTTTTCAAGTTGACTGATGTAATTTTTTAGTGTTGTTATTTTAGAAAAATTATTCCCAAATAGACAATAAATTTTCCCTTAATTTAAAATTAAAGCCACTCTTTTCCTTAGCCATCCAAATTCTGACTTTCTGTCAGGAATTCTGTTTTTTCCTGTATTCTTCCACCATCTGTTATTTTTGTTTGTTTGTTTGTTTGGTGGTTGGCCAGTAGAATCCTTGACTTTGGTGTTACAAGATTGTGCTTTAACTAACTGAGCTAAGTGTCCAGCCCCCACCACCCGCTTATAGATTTTCCTAAACCTTTGGCCTAGACAAATTCCAAACAACCACTGCTCCTTGCTGCCAAACCTTTTCTTACTGATTTAACCTTAGTCCACTATTTTTAATTTGTTGTTGATGTTGTTGCTCATCACATTCCTTCAACCATCGATCTACTTGTCATACTCTTTCTTTTCCTTCCTTGCCCTTAACTCATGTTGTCATGTTTACAGAGTAACATTTTCTAGCCTTTTAGTCATCTCGCCTTTTGATTCCAAAAGCATCTCTAAAGCCCATTTTACATTATAATTGATGGCATGGCTACCATCAAAGAAGACTTTGCAGACATAGTTTACATAAGGAGAGTCTTTTAAATAGCCAGTTCTGTTTTGATTAAAATAGAAACATATCTCTCTCTCTTTTTTTTTTTTTTTTAGCTGTGTTCAAAGAATTTCTGTCCAGAGAGATAAGGTTTTAAGATGCCTTGGAAAAGTGAAGCAGACCACTTCTGAAGTCCTTTCATATAATTTTGTTTACTTGTTTTAGAATCAATGAATTTTTTTTTTTTTTAACTCTGTTTGACTTTTCCCCCTTTTCAGTCATTATCGCCCTTTGATCCTAGCAGATTGTTTGGCTGGCAGTCTGCCAACACACTAGCTATAGGAGGTAAGTCATTATGGATACTTCTTGCTTTAGAAGTATTTTAGCAGTGTTGACCATAGAAGTTAATATCTGTAAAGCCAATCCAGTTTTTTCACTGCTTTCTATTTTAAAAATAAAGGCACATCCAATGGAAAATACTTTCCAGGAGGCTGAATTGAAAACATATTTTGAGTTAAAAGTCAAGGTAGTAGGTAACTAGTGCTGTACTCACTGAAAAATGTAATGTGTACCTATCTGCTTATATTTCTCCCTTTCCAAAAATCCATCTTTGTTTGCAATAGAATATCATAAAGGTTAAGAGCACAGGTGCTGGCATTAAACAAATCCTGCCTCTACCATGTAATAGTTGTGTGACCTTGGGCAGATGATTTAACCTCTCTTCAATTGCCTGTAAATTAAGGTTAATAACAGTACCTACCTCACACGTTACTGTGGGAATGAAAGGAGAAAAGGCATTTAAAAAGCTCTCACATAGTAAGTACTGGATGCACATGCATTGCCTTCCTGTGTAGACCATAAGAATTTCTCTGATTTTTTTTGTCATTCTTAAACTCTGCTTTTTCTATTTCTTTTACCTTTGCATTTAAGTTTAGCATTTAATATGTTACATGTGATGCCTCTGCCTATACTACTCTAAATGAGGCTTCAGATTAGTACTTTGCACCTAGTATGTTCTCCATAAATATTTGTTGACAGACATAAAAGTGAATTTTCTCCCAGGGTTCTATCACTGTACCAGCCAGCCACCAAAAAAAAAAAAAAAGGAAAGAAAATTCTGTTTTTGGTTGGTACAAGGATCTGAACCCTTGACCTTGGTGGTATAACACCTCACTCTAACCAGCCAAGCTATTGGGCCAGATGAATTTTCTAATATATACATTTTGTAAGTTCAAATTTTGATATATTGAATTTACCTAGTGCTTGGAGTTTAGTGCAGGGTTAGGCCTATAGTAGATGTTTAATAAATATTTGCTGAGTGCTAGAAAAAAGTAACACTTATTGCATTATCAAATGAGAATGTGCTTTCTAATCTTAGTGAAATTACTGGAGAGTAGACAGAACCTCCTGTCCTCTTGTAATGGCTCCACCTCCATCACTTAGCTGGCATCTAGAGCCCCTCTTGAAGACTGAGCACTTTCCTAGGTACAGCAGGGGAACAGACAAGTTGAAGGCATGTTTTCTGCCTGGTTTTTAGAAGTTTAAAACATAATGGAGGAAATAAAGTGCAAAGTAAATGAAACAATTTTAATGAAAACATAATACATATTTGTAAAATTGGAGAGTTGAATTTAAATAGAATGTTTACTTCTTTTTTCATATGGTTTTACCACTGAACAGGAACGTAAGATGACTGTGTGGTGACTTGGTTTCTGGGGCAGGCCAGAGAGAAATTTCCCCTCAGGTGGAATTTTTTCCACAAAGTCTCCACACTAGGCCCCAACCTGTTAAAAAAAAAAAATCAAGGTCTTATTTGAATTAAAATCTCAAGTTTGCTCACTCAGCAACTGTCAGTGCATGTACTTTACACATACTCAACAAATATTTAATGAATGAATGATAGCTTTATAAGTAATAATAACTTACCAAAGTCATTCTGATCTCATAAAGAATACAGATAGGACGTGTGACAGTTTTTTAATCTGAAAGGGGTATACTTTTAGGTAATAGCTTTGTAAGATGACAGACACCTTTAAGGTGTTCAAGTTTTTTTTTTTTTTTTTTGGAAGCAAAGTTACGATATGAAAAGTCCTTGGAAATCTATAGGAAGATAAAACTTTGTATCAGAAATAAACTTTGAATTTTGAAAACAAGAGCTGATACACTGTTTTCCAGAACTGATTCCTGGAACAAGTTCAAAATGTTATTTTATCTTTTTTACTTTATTTTATTTTATTTTTTTTTAAAGATGACCGGTAAGGGGATCTCAACCCTTGACTTGGTGGTGTCAGCACCACGCCCAGCCAGTGAGCGAACCGGCCATCCCTGTATGGGATCCGAACCCGGGGCCTTGGTGTTATCAGCACCGCACTCTCCCGAGTGAGCCACCGGGCCGGTCCTATTTTTCTTTTTTGTAGGTAGTGAGGGGTTACGAAAAAAAAAAAATCAGGGCCAGCCCATGGCTCACTTGGGAGAGTGTGGTGCTGATAACACCAAGGCCACGGGTTTTGATCCCTATATAGGGATGGCCGGTTAGCTCACTTGGGAGAGCATGGTGCTGACAACACCATGTTAAGGGTTAAGGTCCCCTTATCGGTCATCTTTAAAAAAAAAAAAAAAAAAAATCAAATGCATAGAAACAGAGGAGAATGGTGGTTACCAGGGATTGGAGTGGGAGATAGGAAAATGTAGGTGAAAGAGTACAAAGTTGCAGTTATGTAGGATGAGTAAGTCTAGAGAGCTAATGTACAACATGAAGACCATAGTTTATAATATTGTACACTGGTAATTTGCCAAAAGAATAGGTATTAGGTACTGTTACTACACACACACACACACACACACACACACACAAAAGGTAACTGTATAAGATGTTGGGTGTGTGAATTTGCTTGAGTATAGTAATCACTTCACTGTGTGTATGTATATCAAGATAAGTACATCAAAACATCATGTTAGGGCTGGCCAATTAGCTCAGTTGCTTAGAGAGTGGTGCTGATAACACCAAGGTCCAGGGTTCAATCCCTGTGTTGGCCAGCCGCCCCCCAGAAAAAAAATCATGTTGTACACCTTAACTATATATAGTGAAAATAAATAAGTTGCTCAAGGTCACACAATTAGTTGTACCAAAGACCAGGAGTCAGTCACACTCTTTTATGACCCCAAAGCGTTACTCTCTCTCAGATATTGGACCTGCCCAACTAGAGCTTCATCCCACCATGGAAACTGTCACAAACTCATCAGTTGGGACAGCTTCCAAAGTTATTTTTAATCAGTTTTACACACTCAAACAGAATGGCTCCAGATCTCTCACAGTTGCTCCCAAATGAGCATGCACATTGCTCTCTAAGGAATTACTACTGGGTTGCTTTCTTCTATCCCCAGTAAGCGCTCCTCAGTTGGTTTAGGGATGCCCCAGACACTGGGAATTCTCCCCACAGTTGTACATTAGCATCTGTAACAACAGATGTGATAGTGTGCAGCCAGGAAAACTCAAACTGAAAAGAAATCTCTCTACACACCAGTAGTCACCGAGCCTGTTCCACTGGCAGCCAGACCCTCGCAGGCCTCTGCCAAAGTTGTAGTTAAATGAGCACAGCTCTCATAGGAAGAAGATTACTTCAACAAAAAATCACGGAGTATCCCAGCTGGTACGGCCCTCAGAAGTCATCTAGCCCAACGTGCTTATTTTACTTACAAGGACACAGAAGCCCAGAGAGGAGAGGAGACTTGTCCAAAGCACTCGGCAGGTTAGAGACAATGACAGCTCCACAGTGCTAATTGTGAATCCTAAGAGAGTCTCTAAGAAGAAAAAAAAAAAAAAACGAAAGCAACTAAAATGACCAGTAAGTTCAATGAGGGGAAAAGCATCATTTATTACAAGAGTTTTTATGCAGCTTCTCAGGTATACATCTTTGTATAAAATGAGGCTACTTCTATGTATTGAAGTAAAATAAGTTACATTTTGGTGGGTTCAAAGTGACACACAGTGGTACAAAATGACTATAGCAATCAGTTTTCTTTTCCTATTGGAGAGTTAAGTTTTCCGCATGCAAATCTGAAATTTATCACAGTGGAGGTGCAGAGGATTAGTGTTGCTTCACTTTCTCCTCCAGATGCATCGAGTCATCTCCCACATTTCTCTAGCCCTGACCTGGTTAATAAATATGCTATTGTGGAACATCTGAATTTTGCTTATTATTTACATCATGGACGGCCATCCTTTGCATTTGGTACTTTTCTGGTCCAGGAGTTAACCAAGAGCAAGACTCCTAAGCAGCTGTGAGTATTTAATATATAATTTGTGCCTTAAAAAAGGCATATCAGTATTTTATGCATACATTTAAAAAAACACACTGGAAACATATACCACAATTAACAGTGATTATAGTTGGATGGGGAGTTTTTTCGTTTGTGCTTTTCTTTGTGTCCCCAGTTTTAGCATTTAGTGTGTTTTTTGTTAATAGGAAAAAAGATAAAAAATATATTTTAAAAGATAATACATCTATTTTAAAGTTATATGGGAGCTTGTCAGGTATTAGCAATGACTCTAAAGAAGGAATTCTACAATGCAATGTGAATTCTTTATTTAAGATGTTTTATTCACTTTTATAAAGCACAGAACTGGGAAGAATATTTGACACAATCTAGCTAAAAATAGATTTACTTTATTGGTTGGTTTTATAATTAACAAAGTAATGCATTTTTATGGTAAAATATTCAAGAAGTTCAGAAATGAAAGATAAAAGTCCCTCAGTCTCCCATTCCCATTCCACATAGTAAACATGGTTAATTTCGTGTCCATCTTCCCGGAAATCTTTCTACACATATAAAAGGTATATGAGTCCTTTAAAATGTACTTTATGATGTGAAATTTTAAGTGGCATTAATTTTCTTGATAGTTTGTATACATACTAATAATTGTTAAGATCACAAGTTGGTAATCTTTTGGAAGTTCTCCTCCATGTCTTCTGGATGAAGTTGGAAGCAAGAAAAATTTGAACTATGAATAGGTGTTTTAAGAGAAGGTAAATCCAAGGGAATGGCAGAACTATGGAGCCAGAAGACAACTAAAAAGCTATCAGAAACCTAAGCGGATATACACAAGGGGTACAAAAGAGAAGGGGGAGGAAGCCAGAAATCACATGTCTTGCACTCCATGTATCGCTGATAATTGCATTTGCTTTTCCTGGTGAGAAATAATTTTCATGTACTGATGTGATTTTTCTTTCTTTTTTTTTTAGGATCCAGCAAGTAGGCAATGAAACCTATGTTTTAGGGCTTTCCTCCTTCCACATACCTTCAATAGGAGCTGCCTGTGTTTGTTTCTTAGAATTGCTTGGCCTTGACAGCCTCAAGCTCAGAGTTGATATGAAAGTAGCCAATATAATTTTGAGCTACAAGTGTAGAAATGAAGATGCTCAATACAGTTTTATCAGAGAATCACTAGGTACAGCACCTTTTCTTTATGTGGCTTATTTTGTTTAGAGGCAAAGGGGTGAATAGGTCTAAGGCACTGAATTGTGAGGAGTTGGGAAGGAAAGTTATTTTCCTGTTTCATCCTTTTCCTGCAGAGTGTGTGTTCTTTGTCTCACTTTCTCAGGCACTTTAACTAGGTTCTGAGATGGTCCTGGGCCACACTATTCAAACAGAAGTGCCCAGGTCCTGCCTTTTGTTCTTGACCATATTTTGTTTTTTTATTTCTTATAGCTGAAAAACTATCTAAACTAGCCAGTGGTGAAAAGGCAACTATAAAAGAATTGCTTGTTCTCTTAGAAGAAGGTACATGGAACAGCATTCAGCAGCAGAAAATAAAGAGGTTTGTAAACTACATCCCAACCTCTTTTCTAGCAAGCTTATTGTGCCAACTTGTGTTTGCCTTGTCTGTCTTCCAGCACCTCTGGTGTTTTTACCAAAATCCCCCTAGACCCTATCTTCTTATTCATCTAGCATATAGCAGATACTCAGTAAATGGACGATGATTTGAATTGCATCTTGCCATCAGTGAGAGGACGGTAAAGATAGTGATTCCCTCATTAGAGACGGACTTACCAGGTGATGAGAAGAGCTTTATCTTTTCCATTGCTCTGCTGCCCCGAGAAGTCTTTTTTTTTTTTGTCTTTTGTCTTTTTTTCCGTGTCCGGCAACGGATCGCAACCCTCAGTGTTGCCCCCGGACCGGACCGGGGACCGGCAACGGGATCGCAACCCTTAGCGTTGCTCCCACGCCTCACTCAGCCAGTGAGCGGGAACCGGTCTGTATGTGGGATCCGAACCCTCGGGTGGGAGCGCCGCCGCGCTTCCCAAGTGGGGCACTTATCCAGTGCGCCACCGGGCCGGCCCCCGAGAAGTCTTTTAAGTGTTACATGTTGAAGTAATTTCAGAAGATGTGGGATGGGTCTGAAAAAATTTGACTTTAATGTCCTTAATTTTTTCTTCCTATTATATGTCAGCTGATAATGGAAGCCAAGATATCTGTCCACAAATATACCTCTTCTTACACAATCAAGCCATCTTTTCTCTGTGTTATCCCACTGGGACTAGCCCAGCCATCCTAGCCTCTGGTAACACAGCATTCTTCTGTACTTCCTATCACCAACTCTGTTCTGAACAGTATCCTGCTTGCAGCGGGAACATGTACCCTTCCACAGTGAAGAGGCCCAGGCATCTGTTAGGGCTCTGAGTACTCTAAAGTAAATCATGCAAAAGAATTAAGTGCTCAGTATATTTCTTGAGTGACCATTTTCTCACTTCTTCTTTTTTTTTTTTTTTTTTCCTTTTTGTCTTTTTTCGTGACCGGCAACGGATCGCAACCCTCAGTGTTGCTCCCGCACCTCGCTCAGCCAGTGAGCAGCCGGTCTGTATGTAGGATCCGAACCCTTGGTGGGAGCGCCACTGCACTTCCCAAGCGGCGCACTGCAGCAGTGCGCCACCGGGCCGGCCCCTCACTTCTTCTGAGGACAGTACATAGCTAGTATATGAATAGATACTTGGTTGATGATTTGGGGGAGGAGTGAATTGTGCCAGTATGCTAAGCTATTCTTCCTTATGGGTAAGAGTCCATATTTTTCAAAATAGTTTAATAAATACTTGGCATTTGTTGTAAGGCTTTCTAGAGAATATACTGTGGTTAAATTTATTTAAAATTTTCTAATTTTCCAGTTTCAAATTAAAGCTACATTTTAATAAGTTTTTTCCTCCATTGCTCCTCCCCTAATTCTAATTATAGGTTATCCAGTGAAGCTAGCAGCCAATGGGCATTAGTGGTCCAGTTCTGCAGGCTCCACGATATGAAACTGAGTACGTCTTACCTTAGAGAATGTGCCAAAGCAAATGATTGGCTACAGTTTATTATTCACAGCCAACTCCATAACTACCACCTAGAGGAGGTAAGCCACTGATCGTTGGTAGTTATTCCAGAGGAAATTGGAACACTTCTCAGAGCATAGTGTTCTTTCTGTTGTGTAGATATAGGCTTTTGTTTGATATGATACTATTATTTTTACTAAGATTTCAGTGGGTTGGCATCAGACAAAAGACTAACCATCAGTACTGAAGAAAGAGCTGAAAAGTTTCTGTGACTCCAGATTGAATATGGAAATTCACTCAAAACTAACAAACAATTCTGTAAAATTATATGATCACCTGACACAGTTCAGGGTGAGAAAGAATAATTTTACCTATGCTTTTCCCTAACATTTTCAGCTCCAGCTGAAACTGAAAGTTGGCTGTCTAATTTTAATCATCTAGCATGCTTTCTAGGTGAAATCCCTTCTCCAGTGCTTCAGCCCAATCCTTCAAGACCACTTAAGGCTGGCTTTTGAGAACTTGCCCTCAGTGTCCAACTCCAGAGTGGACAGTGATCAAGTCTGCAACAAGTCACCCCAGGAACTCCAGAAAAACAAGGAAGAGATGACTGGTTTCTTTGAAATTCTGCTTCAGTGCTCAGAGGAGCCACATTCCTGGCGCTGGCTCCTGGCTGAGGCAGTGAAACAACAGGCCCCTATCCTCAGTGTCCTGGCCTCATGTCTCCAGGTGAGGATCATGAGAAACCTAAATTAGGGACCCAGAGAGCAATAGGAAAAGTGATAAGGGACAGTGAAGGCTGATAATCAGAAGTGGGGTGATGATGACAGTGAGCCTTCAGCATGTATTTCCAAGGTCACTGCAATCTTTTGTGCTTCTCCAGTTTAGATTCTGGGCCATTTCATACACTTGCTTGTGCCTTGACCTTCAGTGAATTCAAGTGGTCAGAGCCTTGGTTCCTAGCTAGCGGTCACAGAGAAGGATGTTTGGTGGACTGACCACCACTGCTTCTTTAGTACCTTCCTTAGCAGGGAAGGGGATGATCCCTTAATCAGCAGATCAGTGGAGGGCAGTCCTGCTCTTTTACATTTAGTACTTCCCTGACTTCCACATTTGTCCTCCTCTGTCTTCTCCTTGGCTTTTTGACCCACCACAGTCTGCAGGACAGTTTATAATAGTCCCTTGGTTGTTCATTAGAGTTTGTTTCAGGTTTGGAGGCTTCTCAAACCATTTTAACTAATTAAGTGAGATGACTTGTTCTAAACAGGAAATACCCATCTGTAGCATTTGTACGTTTGTCAGGTAATCTAGGCCCATTTGTTATTTTATTTTGAAATTTTTTTATCCAATGGCAGGATGACAGTGTTATTCCTTGTCTTTGTGTTTGGATCATCACTTCTGTGGAGGAAAGTGTTGCAGCTGAAGCAACAAGACACATTCAGGGCTTGATAGAGGGCCACACCTGGGACCTTGAGGACCTTTCAGTCATCTGGAGAACATTATTAACAAGGCAGAAGAGCAAAACTCTCATCAGAGGTTTCCAGCTATTCTTTAAGGTAGTAATAGTCACTTTATTTCCCCTGTTGGCTTTTTCTTATTCCTGTCCCTAAATTTCTTTTTAGCCAACAGCAGATGATGGTAATGGTAATAGAACTACCATTTATTTAGTATTTATTTACATTATTTTAGTCATTTCTCACCATAATCCTATACAGAGATAATATTATGTGAGGGTATTATGAAATAGTATTTTCCTCATTTTATAGACTAATTTGGACTTATGTAATCTGCCCAGGATCTCAAAGTACTTTTATAAGTACACCATTATAGTTCAGATTCATATTTTCTAATCCAAAATGCCTGTTCTCTGACTGAACAATTCCCAGTGAAAGCCACGAAATGTGTGGATTAACGCCACAGGCAACCGTAGGGGTGGGTCAGTAGAACCCATTATTCAGGAGTATATGTTAGAGATGTCACAGTGCCACTTAGTGGAATGTGTTCTGCCCATGTAGGGTGGACAAAGTATAGAACAGACAGAAGATGGATTGTTGAGTAGGTGTACCTGGCCTGAGTATCTTTTTCCAAAAGGAAAGGAAATATAAATTTACCTTCCTTTCTTTTTAACATATATGATTTAATTCTATGAGACTGTTGTAATGTTCTCTTATTTGGCATTATTCATTGAGAAAATACTAAGTTCAGGATTTTGTCATTTCATTCAAATTGTTCCTCAAAGGATTCCCCATTACTCTTGATGATGGAGATATATGAACTATGCATGTTTTTCAAGAATTATAAGGAAGCTGAAGCTAAACTTCTGGAGTTCCAGAAAAGCCTTGAAACTGTAAGTTGGAACTATAGCACTCTTTTTCACTGATCTGAAATTAGTTGGGATAGTCTGTTGTACACTAGTAGTCAAGGTGGGACAGCACGAGAATAGTGGTTATGTGGCATAATTCAGACTAAATTATTGGTATCATTCCAGAGATGGGGAAGCCAGGGCAGGAGTTGCAGTGGTCTCACTTACAGCAGCCTGTCAGTTGCCATGAACAGAGAGGTTTCATGTAATGTGCTAATATGTGGGATCTGTGTGATCCGTACCCTGGTATTACAGCCAGGCTCAGTGGGAAAGGGATTAATGGTATCTGCTAGAGAGGAGAGTGGTGGAATTTGGGCTGCATTTTACCAATCCAGAATAGCTCCAGCAGTGTTGAATAGGAAGGGTATTTAATACTGCATTATATACTGTGAAAGAAAATAATGGTTTTCTTATCAATGCTCCTAGAAAATAATGGTTTTTTCATCCAAATGATATTGAGCTGTGTGGTCAATAGGCTTTACCTATTAAGATGCTTGTGTAGATCCTGTTTATCATGTCGAGCTTATTAACCCTATGAATAAAAAGAGGAAGTTATAAGAGAGGGAATATGCCTTAATCCTGCTTGAGGTTTTCAGAACTTTTACCTTCTTTACTCCAAAAGAGCTCTGTTATAAATGAGACAAAAGTATATATCAGTTCTACCCAATAAATATATCATAGTGGAACCTCAGTACAGGCTTTTTTTCTCGATCAAATTTCTCTTAACTGATGAAGATTTAAAAGTTACATATTTGAAAATACTGAATCAGTTATTTGAATATGCCTGGGGTTCCAAAATCACAGAAAATAGGCTCGTTGATTTCCTCAGCCTATTACTTTCTATGGCTGGGGTCCTCCCAGGTATCTTCTAATTCTTGCCTGACTGCCCCTGCTCCAGCCTCCTGTGGAGGAGCAATGCACCTGCTCCCATCCTTGCCTTATCCCTTTATGTCCATATATTTTTTCCTTCAACCACTTCCATCATCTTCCCTCTTCTTAGACCAACAGAGTTAGGAAAACCATAGTTAAATAAAGACTAAGAACTAATGCCCTAAACATAGCTCTTTTTAATAAAGACCCTCAGGAGGATAAAGAATCAAGAATGGAAATATTATATAACTTTTAGCTCTTCTAAAAAGTAAAGTCAGGTCAGAATGGTTGTAGAAAACATTCAGCGACAGTGTCTACACAGGAATGGTAGCTAATAATGAGCTGGCTTCCAATGTTCTATCTTTCTCATAGTAATCCCCTCAAATAGTTTGTAATAAGGGAGAGGCTCCGAAAGCAAAATGATCTTCCTCTAAGATAGCAGGTAAGCCCTATTGAAATTTAAGAGAAAAAAAAAAAAGAAATTTAAGAGAGAAAGATGAGAAATATATAGGGAGGACCACATCGGACATAAAAAAAGAGAGTAGAGGAGGAAATTCCAAATAGGAGTAAGGAGATAACAGTAATGGGACATAGGATATAATAAGCCATTTCTTAATTTGAGATCTTGGCAGTCTTAGGCATTCCATTGAAGGGACTGTTGCACATTATAGCCAAAAAGTCTCTGCATATTAGACTCACCTTCGGAGTAACTTTTTTTTTTTTTTTTTTTTGGTGGCTGGCCAGTACAAGGATTCAACCCTGATCCTTGGTGTTACCAGTACCCTGCTCTACCCAACTGAGCTAAATGACTAGCCCTTAGAGTGACTTTTATAGTGTCATCAGAAGTACACAGGAAGTATCCAGCCAAGACTAGAACCTAACCCAGCGCTAGGTACAGACTTAATGAATTATAAGTTTTTGGTGTCTATCAACATGTTATGTATATATTTTGAAAGCAAGAAGTTTCTATTCCACCAAAGGCCCAGTATTTTTTGTGATTATGTGGTGTTAAGTTTCACTATGAAACTATAGTGACTATGAACCAAACACTAGTTTTCCAAAAATAGTACAAAGCAAGGGGCCAAGTAAAAATCAGTAATGAAGTCACAAAAGAAGCATCATATAGGAAAGCACCACTCCTCTTAATCTCTAAAATTGGCCTTTTCCTGCAGGATCTTTGATATCTTTGCCACACCTATTTGTAAAAATGCAGCCTGCTACTTGGAGTCATTTCCTATTAATGTTTTTAGCATTTGATTGAAATGACATAAACGCAGGCCTCTTAACCAAGACCCTTCTTTAATAAAAATGTAAACTACAAGCAAAGTAGTGAAACCAGGGCCGGCCCGGTGGCGCACTGCTACAGTGCACCGCTTGGGAAGTGCGGCGGCGCTCCCGCTGAGGGTTCGGATCCCACATACAGACCGGTTCCCGCTCACTGGCTGAGCGAAGTGCGGGAGCAACACCGAGGGTTGCGATCCCGTGCCGGTCGCGGTCTGGTACGGGCACGACACTGAGGGTTGCGGTCCGTTGCCGGACACGAAAAAAGACAAAAAAAAAAAAAAAAGTAGTGAAACCAGCTCAGCAATGGTAAGCAAGTCTTTCTAAGTCTTCATAATATAAATTTAAAGCCTTCTGGACTCCAGGGCAGGCCTACATCCCCTTCTTTTTTTAGAAGCTGCCAAATGAAACATGTCTGGTTAATTTCACAGTAACCTCCAGTGCTGTTCATTTGACAGTCACTAACTGGGGGTATTTACATTAGTTAATTCCATAGTAAGCATTCAGTCTTTTAAGATTCTTGCACATCTTTGACTTTCACACACACAGCTCTCTGCATCAGGACTCTAACAAAGAGACAAAGTGCCAAGCTCCCAAGAAGGCTTTTTTTTTTGCCAGTCCTCCACATTTCTATCAGCTTGAACAAACAATTGAACAAACAATTCCTGCCATTTTGAAAGGACCCTAAATAAGCATCCCCATTTGTGACAGGAAATGAGTTTTGAGGATATCTTGGCTTTCTTAGTCATTCCCAAATTTGGAGATTTTGATTTGCTGTTCCTGTTAAATCACTTTCCATGAGCCTCTCTTTTTTTTTTTCCACAGTTTGACGTGGCAGCCACAAGGATCCCCCCTGTCATCCCTGCCACATGGCTGAAGGATCAGGTGTGTTTCCTTTTGAAGGTTATGCTACAGCAGTGTAAGACCCAGTATGAGCTGGGGAAGCTTTTACAGCTGTTAGTTGGAATAGAGCATTTCTTCTCTGATGGTAAGACAATTTTTACAGTTGAGTTGCTGTTAAGAAGTTAGCTTTCTTAATCTTAAAAATATTTTAGAAGGGTAGTCAGGAAATTAAAATACATATGATATATAAAATTACATTTAGTCTATAACTGGGTGTGAAGAGGTTACAGGTAACTTCAAATTGTGGTTAAAACATTCAAAACATATTACAAAAGCATATAACAGAAATAATACAACCAATCTTCTCATCCTAAGAATTTTTCAAATAGCCACATTTTCTCCCTGGCTATCCTCTACATTACCCTGTCACATTCAATTTTCTCTCTGGCAAATAACCTTAAATGTCTTCATTGCTCAAGGTCACAAACCCTGTTTTAGGAATGCATAAGTCATTTTGGAACTTTCAGAGACAGATTGTGCTTGGTTTTTGCAGATTCCTCCAGACAGTTGGCAGTCTAAGCTTGTTGCTGATTGTATCAAAACAATATTGCCTTACTCTTTTCTACTTGTTTGATAATTTCAAGTTTTTGTTTTAGGTTATTCCTTTACACTAGATTCTGACTATTTTACTACTAGGGTTATTTTATCACATTTAAATTCACAGATGTTCAACTGGAGAGCTCAGGTTTGCGCAGAACACTGACAATGTGGGGCTCAGTGTCAAATATTATAGACTGTGGGTCTGATGGCTGGAAGGAAAGAAGGGTGTTTTCAAAATGCAGTACGTACAAGATGGTACTTGTCAATTGCCGTGCAGTCCAAATGATAGGTCCTTTGACTTATGGGTATTTTCATTGATCTGTAGCAATTTTAATTTTTTTTGGAAATGAATTTTCTTTCGTTTGCCATAGTTAATCTATGTTAGAATAATTACAAAGATTGACTACATTGTTAAACATTGCTATAAGACTTCTGTTCACATAATTAAATTTTTTCTATTTTTATAGCATCGCATAAATATTCGTAACCAATAAAAAAAGGAAATAAAAAATCATCTAAATTTAAAAAATAAAATAAAAGACATCAGAGCATGTGGTACAAAAAATAAAAATAAATAAATTCTTTTCTATTTTTATAGAATGTTATTGATGTGTATGTATGTGGGTATAACATGTATGTGCTTAGAAAACAGAAATATATTCTTTAAAAACCTGGGTTTTATATGATACCAGCAAGGAAACCCAGCATGCCCATATTGGTGGTCATTGTGCATGGTGTCTCTCTGTCCCTGGAAATTCCTAAATCAGACCCCTATCCCACGTGGCACTGAGACAGCCTCCTATGGAATGTTTCTTAAACTCTTCCTTATGATGGGACATACATAGGCTCTACATAGACTATTTGGGAGTAGGAACAAACCCAGCCACATAAATTGTTGGTGGAGAATTCTTAATGTCACTAAGGATAATAATTTCCCAGAGACATCAGGAAGAGCTCAGCTGGGTCTCCTTGGGTTAAGTAGACAGATATCAGGAGGAGCAAGTGATGCTCTGTCCTGAATGGGATATGTCACATGAGTCTTGGCTATTGGCCAGCTGTGGTTTCAGCTGTCCTACAAGTTCTGTCTTGATCCTCATGGTGCCTGCATTGAATGAACAAATGACCAATCAAACAAATTTGATTGAGGTAGAAAAATCCAGAAAGAGATGGCACTAGCCTGAGTGAATGGCTAAAATCTTCCCAAGATTACTAAGTTGCTACTACATAGAAGGCCACCAACCTTTGCCCTGTATATAAAGCCAGATATGTAGATTGAGTTCACATGCTAATCTCTAATAGTTCTTAACTATAAGGCAAGCAAGTTCAACCAGATTTTACACTAAGGATTTAACAGGGCCGTTTTTGGCATCTTTGGTATATAGAGCTACCTTAGGACTTCTTCTCTAGTCAACCAGAGTAGGAAAATGGGTTTTTGTTTTAACATTACCATGTTAAATATATCCCCCACCCCGATATTTACTTACTCTTGAAATGCCATTGCAGCATTTTATTGATTAAATGTTTATATATCCTCTTTTTGGCACAGGTCCAGATGTGAAGAAGCTGTGTGTCCTTAGCCAAATTTTGAAGGATACATCCATAGCCATTAATCATGTAATTATTACCAGCTACAGCATTGAGAATTTTCAGCATGAATGTATATCAATTTTGGAAAGACTGCAGACAGATGGACAGTTTACTTTGGCCAGGAGGGTAGCAGAATTAGCTGAGTTACCTGTGGACAACTTGGTTATTAAAGAGGTATCATCAGTCTTTTAAGTTATTTAAAATCTTAACTTTTTAAACCAGTATTAAACAGAGAATCAAATAAGATATGTAACTTATAGATGAGGCTTTTTTACTTTTGACACACACATTACTTTCAGAAATGGATGAGTCTAGGATACCCATTATTGAAGAATGTATGCTTTAAATGTAAGATTATCCCACAGGATATGCTACAACTATTTTCCTTTGAATAAAATTAAATAGAAGGGGCTGGCTGGTTAGCTTAGTTGGTTAGAGCGTGGTACTGATAAAACCAAGGTCAGGATTCAATCCTCGTACTGGCCAGCCATCAAAAAAAAAGAAAAACTTTAAATATAAGGTGGCTTCCTCTTGAACCCCATTCAATTGGATAAATTGAGACTTGTTCTTCTTACCCTAAATTTCCACATAAAATATCTGGGTTCATCTGTAGCCAAGTTCCATGTTCTCTGATTAGATTTGGTTTTAACAAAACCAAATGGGCTGGCCCAGTGGCGCACTGCTACAGTGCGCCGCTTGGGAGCGCAGCGGCGCTCCCGCCAAGGGTTCAGATCCCACATACAGACCAGTTCCCGCTCACTGGCTGAGCGAGGTGCGGGCGCGACACCGAGGGTTGCGATCCCGTTGCCGGTCCCGGTCCGGTACGGGCGTGACACTGAGGGTTGCGATCTGTTGCCGGACACGAAAAAAGACAAAAAGGAAAAAAAAAAAAACCAAATGGTATGGTATACTTAGGGAGCATTAACATTTATGATATTACTTTGTCCAGGAATGACTAAAATTTGCTTTGTTAAATTTCACAGATAGCACAGGAAATGCAGACCCTAAAACACATTAAACAGTGGTCCCTGAAACAAGCAAGAGTTGACTTCTGGAAAAAATGCCATGAGAATTTTAAGAAAAATTCCATTTCAAGCAAAGCAGCTTCTTCCTTTTTCTCAGCCCAAGCCTCTGTGGGATGTGAGCACCCAACTGGACTGAGCAGCATTGAGGAACGCCATCTTCTGCTCACCCTGGCAGGGCACTGGCTTTCCCAGGAGGATCTGGTGTCCTTGGATAAGCTGGAAGAGCTGGAGAAGGAGATATGGCTCTGCCGCATCACCCAGCACACCACTGGAGGAAACCAGGAGGAAACAGAGCCCATATTTTCTCGACAGGTCTCAGCTAGTGGCGAACTCTCCTTTGACAGCTTAGCCAGTGAGTTTTCCTTCTCGAAGTTGGCTGCTCTGAACTCATCAAAATACTTAGAACTTAATGGGCTTCCATCCCAAGAGACATGTGTGAATAGACTGGATTGGAAGGAACAGGAGACACTAAACTTTTTGATTGGGAGCCTATTGGATGATGGCTGTGTGCATGAAGCAAGTAGAGTATGCCGGTATTTTCATTTCTATAACCAAGATGTTGCGTTGGTGTTGCACTGCAGAGCACTGGCCTCAGGAGAAGCTAGTGTGGATGACCTGCATCCAGAGATCCATGCTCTTCTACAAAGTGCTGAGATGCCTGCAGAAGAAGAGACTGGCATTCCTCTAAGGAAAGTCCAAAGCAGTAAGTGAAGGAGCTCTAACTGCCCTGAGTCCTAAATGGCACTGTTAGCACTCTCTCCAAGAAGGAAGGGTCCTTGTGACATACTAGTTACACTAAGTTAAGGGGACAACACTCTTTTTCCAGGTAATCTGTAAACTAGGTAGTCAATGAAGTAGAAACACCTATGTCTTTTAACTAGCTGCTTATCAAAATTAGAGGGACTCTGTCTGACTTGTAGCTAGTTCACTGAAATTTATTCTATATAAATAATTATGTTTCCAATTTGATATTGATAGTATATAGAAATATGGTTGATTTTTATGTTAACCTTGTATCCTATGACCCTGTTAAACTTGCTTATTCTAGGAGTTTTCTTGTAGGTTCCCTGGGATTTTCTGCATAGACAATCATGTCATCTGCAAATAGAGACAATTTTGTTTCTTCTTTTCCAATCTGTATACCTTATATTTCTTGTTCTTGCTTTATTACACTGCTGGGCCTTTCAGTGCTATGTTGAATAGGAGTGGTGAGAGTGGATATACTTGCCTTGTTACTGATCTTAGGGGGAAGGTATTCAGTCTTTCATCAAGTCTGATATTAGCTGTAGGTTTTTTGAAGATATGCTTCATCATGTTGAGGAAGTTCTCTTCTATTCCTAGTTTGCTTAGAGTTTTTAATCATGAACCAGTGTTGAATTTTGTCATATGTTTTTTTCTGCATGTGTTGATCTAATCATATGGGGTTTTTTTTCTTCTTCTTTAGACTATTACGATAAATTACATTGATTGAGTTTTGAATGTTGAACCAGCCTTGCATTCCCAGGATAAACCCCACTTTGTCCTGGTGCATTATTCCTTTTGATATATTGCTGGAATTGATTTGCTATTTTGTTGAGGATTTTTGCATTTATGTTTATGAGGATTATTGAGCTATAATTTTTTTTTGGTACTGTTTTTTCTTTTTGTATCAGGGAAATGCTGGATCCATGAGTTGGAAAGTATTCCCTCCTCCTTTATTTTCTGGAAAACACTATGTAGAATTGCTGTTATTTCTAATTTATTTTATTTTATTTTATTTTATTTTTTTCTTAATTTTATTTTGCCGATATACAATGAGGTTGATTATTGTGACCCATTACCGAAACCCCCCTCCCTCCTCCATCTCCCCCCTCCCACCCAACAATGTCCTTTCTGTTTGCTTGTTGTATTAACTTCAAGGAGTTGTACTGTTAAGTCTTCTCCCCCCCACCCCCCCGGTTTTGTGTGTGTGTGTGTGTGTGTGTGTGTGTGTGAATTTATTTATTTATTTTTAGCT